ACAAGTAAAACATGAAAAAAAGACCCTAAAATGTGCAAGACAGGGACTGGTATTTTTGGTGTGGCAGGTTAAGCTACCGCCTGCAACACTGGCATCCCATATGGGGGCTGATTCAAGTCCAGACTGCTCCATTTCTGATCTAGCTCCCTGCTTGTGGCCTGATATTGGGCCCCTGCTACCTACATGGGAGTCCTGGAAGAAGTTCCTGGCTTCTGATATTCTGATACTGTACCCAGTAAAACTCTCATTTATAAGTGAAGGTGAAATAAAGACCTTCCACAACAAGCAGAAATTGAAAGAATTTGTCAGCACTCAGCCAGCCTTAAAGCCTTAGGTATGTAATACAGACAGAAACAGAAAAAGCTAATCAGCATCATGAAAGAATATGAAGGCAGCAAAACCTCCTACTAAAAGTACAAAGGAAATTGAAAACAAATTGGAATATTTAAAGTAAAATGGCAAGACCAAGTCATTACTTATCAATAAAAACCTTGAACATAAATGGACTAAACTCTCCAATTAAAAGACACACACTGGTTGAATGCATTAAAAAACAAGACCCATCTCTTTGCTGCCTACAAGGAATTAAGATATACATCATCAACAAAGATAACACTATCATCAACAAAGATACCACATACAGACTGAAAGTGAAAGGATGGATAAGATATTCCATGCTAATGGAAATTTTAAAATGACCAGGAGTAGCCATCCTAATATCAGACAAACTAGACTTTAAGACAAAAATTATTAAAAGAGACAAAGAAAGACATTATGTAATGATTAAAGAATCAATTCAACAGGAAGATGTGACTATAAGAAATTGATATGCACTCAAACCTAGAGTACCTAGCTATTTAAAACAAATGGATCTAAAGGGAGACATAGACTCCAATACAATAACAGAGGGGATGTCAACATCTCACTTGCATCAATGGACAGAGCAACTAGACAAAAAAAAATCAACAAACAACAGAGGTAATCTACACTAGTGAACAAATGGATCTAACTGATATCTACAGAACATTTCATCCCACAGTTGTAGAATACACATTCTTTTCATCAGTGCATGGACTTTCTCTAGGATAAACCATATACTAGGCCATAAAACAATCTCAACAAATTCAAAAAAATTGAAATCGTACGAAGTATCTTTTCTGACCACAATGGAATGAAGCTGGAAATTAACAACGTAAGAAACTCTAGAAAATATGCAAACCCATGCTCCTGAATGAACATTGGGTCATAGAAGAAATCAAAAAGGAAATCAAAACTTATGGAATACAGAAAAAGCAGTGTTAATAGGAAAGTTTATAGCAGTTAATGCCCACATCAAGAAATCGGAAAGGTATCAAATAAGTGATCTAACAATGCATCTCAAGGATGTAGAAAAACAAGAAAAAGCCCAAAATTAGTATAAAGAAAAATAAAAAACTAGGGAAGAAACTAAAAAATTAAAATAAAAAAGATACAAAAGATCAGTGAAATTGAGTTATTTTTTTGAAAAAATAAACTAAATTGAAAAGCCACTGGCCTAACCAAAAAAAAAAAATAGAAGACTCTAATTAATAAAATCAGAGATGAAAAAGATGTTACAAGGATACCACAGAAATGAAAATAATAATCAGGAATTACTACAAACAGCTATATGCCAACAAATTGGAAAACCTAGAAGAAATGGACAGACTTCTGGGCAATTTACCAAAATTGAGGCATGAAGACACAGAAAATCTAAACAGACCAAGAACTACATGGAGACTGAATAAGCAATAAAGACCCTCCCAAAAAAGAAAAGCCCAGGACTGGATGGCTTCATTGCTGAATTCTACCAAACTTTTAAGGAACTAATCCAAATTCTTCTTAAACTACTCAAAACAATTGAAAGGGAGGGAATCCTCCCAAAATCCTATGAGGCCAGCATCACCTTAATTCCCAAACCAGAAAAAGATACAACAACAAAAGAGAAATATAGACTAATATCCCTGATGAATATGAAGGGTTAAAAAGTTAAAAGCTGCTCCCCCCCCAACCTCCTCTGGTGAACTTTCCTGACCTTGTTAGACTTGCTCTGCATAGCCATTAGTCAGTAAATTACCCCAATGTGAGCGTAACCTCAGTTTCACCTAAGTGAGATAGAAGAAGTCACCATATATCTCTGCCTCCTGGACCCCTGACTCCACCAGGTGTCCCTTATCGCCATTCGGCTGCATTCCTAGGTATCATCAAGGCAGTTCCTGCAATCTTGTGTGGCCCTCCCTTTTGGCAATAGGAGGCTTTTTGATACTCCCTGTGTTCATAAATCAACTGATTGTAAAATCACTTAACTTGTATCAATTGTTTACTCTATACCACTGTCTGCTCTACGCAATGATTGATTTTCTTTGTTTAAACGTGTATAAAAACCCCAACCCAAGACTATTCGAGGCCGCTCGCCTGTACTGGGACGGGGGCCCCGACATGTCGGAACATCAATAAACTTTACCCTTTGTTAATTACATGAGAGAAGGTCTCTTGGAGCGTTTTTGGGGTGGCAAGAGCAATTCAACTCTAATTCGACTGTAACAAATATAGATACAAAAATGCTTAACGAAAAACTAGATAATTGAATCCAACAACACATCAACAAGATCATTCACTTGGACCAGGTGGGATTTACCCTGGGATGCAGGGATGTTTCAACATACGCAAATCAAGAAATGTGATACATCACATTAACAACCGGAAGAATAAATAATATATGATTATGTTAATAGATGAGAAAGCATTTGATAAAATACAACACCTTTGCATGATAAAATAAAAAAAAACTTAATTAACTGGGTATAGAAGGAACATTTCTCAACATAATCAAGGCAGTATGTGACAAACCCACAGGCAGCATCACATTAAATAGGGAAAAGCTGGAAGCATTTCCACTAAAGTAGACAAGGATACTCATTCTCACCATTATTATTCAATGTAATTCTGGGGAACAGCACTGTGGTGTAGCAGGTAAAGCCACTATCTACAGTGCTGGCATCCCATATGGGCACTGGTTTGAGTTCTGGCTGCTCTGCTTCCGATCCAGCTCTCTGCTGTGGCCTGGAAAAGCAGTAGAAGATGGCCCAAGTCCTCAGGCCCCTGCACCTGTGTGGGAGAACCAGAGGAAGCTCCTGGCTCCTGGCTTCGGATTGGCACAGCTCCAGTCATTGCAGACATGTGGGGATTGAACCAGCAGATGGAAGACCTCTCTCTGTCTCTGCCTCTGCCTCTCTGTAACTCTTTTAAATAAATAAACAAATCTTTAATATATATATATTAAAATACCATGTATATATATATTTTTTTCTGGAAGTTTTAGCCAGAGCCATTAGATAAGAAAAAGAAGTCAAAGGGGTACAAATGGGAAGGGAATAAGTCAAATTATCCCCTGTTTGCAGATGACATGGTTCCATACATAGAGGAACCAGGACTTCACTAAGAGATTATTGGAACTCATAAGAAAGTTTGGCAAAGTTGCAGGATATAAAATAAATACACAGAAATCAATAGCATTCGTATACACAAACAATGCCGTGGCTGAGAAAGAACTTGTAAGTTCAGTCCCATTCACAACAGCTACAAAAAAAATTAAATACCTTGGGATAAATTTAACCAAGGACTCTAAAGATCTCTACAATGAAAATCTCCACAAGGCAATAGCTTTAATGGAGAACCTGCAAGTAAGATTCACCCCCAATTCTAGGGGCCACTGCTCATCTCATACAAAAGCCAGGCCCAATCCCCATTGAATGGGAAAAAAAAACAGGAAACATCTGGGTAGAGCAGTGGCCAATATCACAACCCAAACTTAGCATCCTTAAAGAATTGGTACAGGAACAATTGGAAAAGGGACACATAGAACCCCTGTGGGGTTCTACATGGATCTTATCTTTTTCTGAAAATTACAAAACATTAAAGAAAAAAATAGAAGACAGCAAAAATGGAAAAATCTTCCATGTTTATAGATTGGAAAAATTAATATCATCAAAATGTCCATATTACCCAAAAAAATTTACAGATTCAATGTGATCCCAATCAAAATACCAAGGACATTCTACTAAGATCTAGACAAAAAGACCCTAGACACCGGCGCTGTTGCATAGTAGGTTAAGCCTCTGCCTATGGTCCCAGAATCCCATATGAAGGCAGGTTTGAGTTCCAGATGCTCCACTTCCAATCCAGCTCTCTGCTATTAGCCTGGGAAAGCAGTGGAAGATGTGGCTTGGACTCTAGTACTTGGACCCCTGCACCCACGTGGGAGACCCAGAAGAAGCTTCTGTCTCTTGGCTGGACAGGTCCAGCTCTGGCCATTGTAGCCATTTGGGGAAAAAAAAAGGACTCTTCTTTGTATGTGTGTGTGTGTGTGTGTGTGTGTAGGTAGCTGTTAATCAAAGTATAAAATCCACAAATCCCAAACTCATTATCTTCCTGTGCCTCTTCCAATTTCAGCCATCAAGACATGACCGACAGTTCTTACCCAAACACCCACTGCATGTTTGCCTGCTTCTTTTTGATTTCCGCTTTCCCTCAAGGTTGGAGGGCCAAATTCTCTCGGCGTTACTTGTGGATCGCTTCCGCTGCTGCCCGGTGCCCAGACACTGTTGCTTTCTGCCAGCACTAATAACATGCGAGCCGCCACTACCGAAGCACAGACTCCCTTGCCCCATCTTCACGGTCCTACACATCCGGCTTCTTCTGGCTTCCCGCCGCTTTCCTCACCATCACACTCAGCCTTGAGCTTCGAAGGTTTTTCTCACCTGTGAAGACCTCATTGTGGCCCAGGGAGGGGAATCCCAGGTTGCAGTTACCGCAAAAAGAAGCGACCGGAAGTGGGGGGCGGGCCAAGCTGGAGGCAGGGTTTGGCCTAGCCAATAAAAGTACTGAATTCAGGGTCAAGGGTCACATGTCCAGTGGGAGATAAATTATTCCCAGCGAGGAAGACCGGTTGGAGATTTTTACCTCAGGTGAGTTTTGAGCAGGTGATGGAAAGAGGGAGGGAAGGTGTTTTTGAGTTGAAGAAGAAAAGATCGGGATAGGGCTAAAGTATGGCAGCTTGGAAATCTCTGAAAAACAGATTTGTGAGGCCTGGCTGATGTGCCCCTTTGGGGACAAGACCCCAAGACCAGTGTCCGTCTAACCTAAAAGGAGGGAATCGGGGGTGTGAAGAGCCCAGGAGGACTGTGGGACTTCAGCCCACCAAGTAGGAGTTGCATGGATTAAACAGTGTGAGAAAATTCGCGAACCGAGCCTCCTCTCAACGTTTCGTTGTTAAACTGACTTTTTTGGGAGGAGGGTGAGGACAGGGAGGAAACTCGAGATGCTACCCGACCTAATTATTGGGTGTATTTCCATTTTGGCCCGATAGGGGCCAGTCAGGAGGTCGCACAAGGGAAATAAAATCTTTAGAAGTAGCGAAGAGAAAAAATTCAGAGATTTCTGCAATTCAGGAGTTGATCATTTTAAAATATTTTCTCCCTTATCATGGTTTTCCTTGTTTCCTCCGTGTCTTTGATTTTGGAAATAGTTTATACTTCATTGAAATAATTTATTAGGCGAGCCTTGTAGCTTAGGACACCACCCGTGTTGGAGTCCTGGCTGCTCCACCTGCAGTCTAGCTCCCTGCTGATGGCCTGGGAAGGCAGTGGATGATGGCCCACGTGTTCGGGCTCCTGCTACCCTCGTGGGAGACCCAGAAAGTTCCTGACTCCTGGCTTTGGCCTGGCCCAGCCCCAGAGTTGGGGCCTTCTGGGGAGTGGACCAGCAAATAGAAGATATCGCTCTCTCTCTCTTTCTCTCTCTCCCTTTCTGTGTAACTCTGTCAAATAAACAAATAAATCTTTTTAAAAAAGAAATAGTCTTTCTTCTCATCTGTCACTATAAGCGACACTCACAAAGTATTCAGTGAAGTGAATCTGACAAATGTAATTGTATTTTTTTTTTCCAAACTTAATTGTTTAATAAGTGCCGGTGATATACATAAGGAATGGGGTGAAGGAGAGGCAGAGAGAGAGAGAGAGAGAGAGAGAGAGAGAGAGAGAGGTCTTTCATCCGCTGGTTCACTCCCCAGATGGCTGCAACGGCCAGAGTTGCACCAATCCAAAGCCAGGAGCCAGGAGCTTCCTCTGGGTCTCCCACATGGGTGCAGGGGCCCAAGGACTTGGGCCATCTTCTACTGCTTTCCCAGGCCCAGACCACAGCAGAGAGCTGGATTGGAAGTGGAGTAACTAAGACTCGAACCAGAACCCATATGGGATGCTGGCACTGCTACGCCACAGCGCCAGCACTGACAAATGAAATTCAAATACTGTATATAGCATGGTATCTTTCTTTAACTTATTTTTTATTTATTTTTTAAGACTTACTTATTTGAAAGGCAGAGTTACAGAGAGGCAGAGAGAGAGAGAGACAGACAGACAGACAGACAGGTGTCTTCCATTGCCTGGTTCACTTCCCAATAGCTGCATGGCTGCAATGGTCAGAGCAAAGCTGATATGAAGCCAGGAGCCAGGAGCTTCTTCCAGGTCTCCCACATGGGTGCAGGGGCCTAAGGACTTGGGCCATCCTTTGCTGCTTTCCCAGGTGCATTAGTAGAGAGCTGGATTGGAAGTGGAGCAGCCACTAGACTTGAACTGGTGCCCACAACCTGCTGAGCCACAGCACTGGCCCCATAACATGATATCTTAAGAGCTATATATTAGCATACATTCAATGATTGACTTGAATACAAAGATGATTACTTTTTAAAAATAATTGATGAGAGTGATGAATCAAAGCTGATAGAATTATTAGGCTTCACAAGAAAAGAAAATTTAAGATAAATGCTGATAACAAATTGAATATGTAAACTAGCTAGAGTTGACTTAGTTTTTAATTTTTTTGAAATAACTTTTAGAATGATAATCAGATAATTTTTGTGGAAGTATAATTTAAAGAAATAGACATTCTAGAATCAATATTTGTTTCAAAGATAGTGATGCACTGTATGAAAAAAGGCAGACAAGTGCAAGATTGGAATATTCTCAGAGAAATAGTCATGAATAAGGAAATGTAATGTTGGAACTAAGTAAGAGTGAAAGAGGGTAGCAACACTATATTCCTTACACTTGCTGGTACTAGAATCTAACAATTTTAAAGTTAATCTAGATAGCTTATTAGACTCTCTTTAGTTGGCATGGTTATTATATCAAAAAATTCTTCTGGGCCGGCGCCGTGGCTCACTTGGCTAATCCTCCGCCTGCAGCGCTGGAATTCCATATGGGCCCGGGGTTCTAGTCCCAGTTGCTCCTCTTCCAGTCCAGCTCTCTGCTGTGGCCCGGGAAGGCAGTGGAGGATGGCCCAGGTGCTTGGGCCCCTGTACCCACATGGGAGACCAGGAGGAGGCACCTGGCTCCTGGCTTCGGATTGGCGTAGCTCCGGCCGTGGCGGCCACTTAGGGGGTGAACCAACGGAGGGAAGACCTTTCTCTCTGTCTCTCCCTCTCACTGTCTGTAACTCTACCTGTCAAATAAATAAATAAAAATTCTAAAAAAAATTCTTCTGACTTATTAAATACAATAATTGTGTTCTAGATTGTTTTAGAAGCTTGCTCTTTGTTTTTTAAATCTAGAAGTTGGACAATTAAGAATGTCCATTTGATCACTTGATAATAACTGAAAATAAGCATAAGCTAGAAGCCTATTAATCTAAATGTTATCTTCAGGACTTCTGTTTTTGTGCCTTCACTATAGACACTTAAATGGGTAAACCTTAAATAAATATAAAATAATGAAACTAAGGAAAGAACATTTGGATTAAGCTGTATATTTTATTCAATAAAACGTTGCAACAAATTACTATATGGAAACTTCTAGTTTACATCTGAATTCTCAAGACATTTTAAATGATAATAAAACTAAGGACTATTTGATAAGCTGCATTCTGTCCTAGAGTAACTTCTAAATTGTAATTCTTCAAGATCTCCCTTAAATGAAAACCATCCAGGACTAACTCAAAATTCTAAATTTTACTTATTGCTTCATTAAATGGATTTGCTGATTTCCTAGTAACAACCTATTGACCAGGTAATATACCATAGTCACTTTATTCCAAATGATCTAGCTTATCAGGATTCTAATTTCAGGATTTTATTTTCTAAGTAAGAGAATGGAAACACTTTTCCAAATATGAACCCACTTCTTCAGCACAGGGTCCTGCCCCTGTGCATGTAATTTCAAGATCACTTATGAAATACAGTTATCCTGAAAAATCATTCTGTCAGTCTTAGGAACTCTTGTACACAAGGGGTCTTCAAAAAAGTTCATGAAAAGTAAATATTATGAAAATGTGGTACATGGATTTCAGATTGTTTTCCACCAAAATAAACTTATCCTTTTATTCTACTTTCCTACAGACATTTTGAGATACCCTTGTAAATATCTCTTGTGATTATTTTTTATCAGTCAGAGCCTTTTAAAAAAAAAAATGAGGGAGCCAAAGTTTTGTGTTAAGTGAAATTTTCTACTGTTGACTGCTATTTTACCAGCATTTAATTATAATTTTTATATTCTAGACTTTGACATTTGTACTGCTTTCAAAAAAAAAAAAAGAAGATATGTTGTTTCCAGCACTCAAATATTGTGCAATAGACTATTTATATGAGGTATGTAGTACTGGTTTACTAAGAATTATGATATAAAAAGTTATCTGCTTTCAGTATATGATAATCTTGTAGTAATCCTTAATCTAATTACTTTACAATTAATTCTAAATTCTCACTTTTACTACCCAGAAAAATGGCAATTTTGGAAGTAAATTATGAAATTTAAATTGATTATCTGAAATGATTCTTGTTGAAAGGAATGGGTGAAAAGCATTCTTAATTACCTCATTGTAATAGTAACAGCCTGTATTCAACACTTACAATGGGCCAGATACTCTGTTCTGATGAATTATGTCATTGATCCTCACAACTACTTCATAGATACTAATATTACACAAGTCCTACATTTTACAGGTTAGGAAACTAATGTCAAGTCAAATTAAAAAGCTTGTAGCAGTTATCAGAGCTGAGATTCAAACTCAAGTAGTTGCCATATGACAAGTCAGTGGTTCTTATGATCTTAACTGACAAATTACATGTTTGTTTCCTTTGTTATAACACCAATCCCATCTACCAGAAAGAAAAGTTACTCCAACATAATGAAAACTATGTTATATTTGAAAGTTAATAAGACAGAATACAGGTATCTTCAGATGTTATTATTCCCTCACAACTGAGGGAAGAAAATATGTAGTTGTGCATGATAGGGAATCAGAAATTATTGTAATAAAAACATATTTGTGAGTATATCAGCCACTTGCAGAATTAGCTTGTACTCAAATATCCCCACACTTTTGTACTTGCTACTGATCTCTCAGTATCTTGATGGTGTGTCGCTCTTCATGATATAATACCAATATGGTACTAAGTTTGCAAAAGATAGAGTACTTTGTGAAGTTTGTGAAAATAGTGTTGAAGAATCACTCAAATAACAAGTCAAGCTATTGTCATATGAAGATCTTGCACAAAATTAGATCAGTTAATAGGCAAGAAGAGAATGATTTCAATTTCAAAGGAGTCAGAGATGCTTTGGAAAAGTCCTCAAATATTTTCTAAAAAGATTTTCTTTATTTTCAGAGTTGAAGTAATAATTAATATACATATCAAATAATATAGTTTGTGGGGGCTTTTTAAAAAAATTATTTGAAAGGCAGAGTTTTTTATACAAAGGACAACTCAAGCTTTGTTTCCTACTTGCTATGAACCTTTGGTCCTCATTTTATGTCAGTTACCATAAGTGATCTTTTCTCTTTACCACTTATTTTTGTCTAAAAGAGAAACTCTAAACACCTCAGCAGCACAAAACTCTTAAGAAAAAAATGCATGAAACTATTGTTTGTCCAAATACACCCAAAAGTGAATTCTGTGAGAAGCTAGAGTCACTGAGGGAAAACTTCATGAAGGAGATATTGCTTAGAATGTGTCTCAGAAGGTGGGAAGCATTTTGATAGCTAGAGGAAATAGCTGGGGATTTTCAGAGGTACACTGTAGACCTCAGCGTTGAAGGAGTAATCGCTGAATGTTAAGGGTTGGTGGTGAAGATACTAGTCTATGTAGAGAGAATGGTTAGAGTAATGAGAGAAAAAGTTGGAAAGTAAAGGCAGAGCCAAATTTAAGAGAATTTTGACTGATTTACAGATTTACTTAACCAATTTTATGTCCCTTTAAAGAAACAATTTGTCTACTAGGTATATATTTTAAAACTAGAGCCAGATGGGGCCTATATTGTGGCATAACTGGTTAAGTCACTGCCTGCGGTGCTAGCATCCCATATGGGTGACAGTTTGTGTGCTGGCTGCTCCACTTCTGATGCAGCTCCCTGTTAGTGCACCTGGGAAAGCAGTGGAAGATGGCCCAAGTCCTTGGGCCTCTGCACCCACATGGGAGAGCTGGAAGAAGCTCCTAGCTCCTGGTTCCTGGCTTCAGCCTGTCTCAGCCATGGCTGTTGTGGCATCTGGGGAGTAAACCAGTGGATGGACGACCTCCCTCTCCCTGTCTCTCCCTCTCTCAGCCTTTCAAATAAATAAATCTTTTTTAAAAATTAGAGCCAGAAAACATACATTTAGTATAGTAGTTAAGATGTCCATGTCCCACATCAGAGTGCTTGCATTAATTTTCCTGCTCCAGTTCCTGACTCCAACCAGCTTCCTACCAATGCAAACCCTCAGAGGCAGTGGTGATAGCTTAAATAATAGGATTTCTGCCTCCCATGTAGGAGCCCCTGATTGCTTTCCTAGTTCCTGGCTCAGACCCTGGTCCAGTCCTGGCATTTGGAGAGTGAAGCGGCAAATGGAATCACTATTTTTCTCTGTCCCTCTCTCCCTCTGTGTCTCTCTGCTCTCAAATAAATAAATAAAATTTAAAATTAGAAACATATTTGCTGGTGTTAAGTAAAATAATTCAGACTTAGAAAGCAAAATTTAATAAATCCACATTATATCATTTAGTAAAAACAAAAAAGCACATTGCTAAATTATATATAAATGATATGGTCCCATTTTTTATCAAACACACATATTTTACCTTAATCTAGAAAAAAATTATAGGAAAATACATCAGCCTATTACTGATACTACTAGGGCCCTTGATTTTCTCAGTTATGTGTTCCTTTTGATATTTATAATGAGCTTTTTTTTTAAAGATTTATTTATTTATTTCAAAGTCGGAGTTACACAGAGAGAGGAGTGGCAGAGAGAGAAAGAGAGAGAGAGAGAGAGAGAGGTCCTCCATCCGCTGGTTCACTCCCCAGTTGGTCACAATGGCTAGAGCTGCGCCGATCCAAAGCCAGGAGCCAGAAGCCTCATCCGGGTCTCCCACGCGGGTGCAGGGGCCCAAGGACTTGGGCCATCCTCCACTGCTTTCCTAGGCCATAGCAGAGCTGGATCGGAAGTGGAGCAGCCAAGACTTGAACTGGCGCCCATTTGGGATGCTGGCATTGCAGGCAGCGACTTTCCACTATGCCACAATGAACTTTTGAAGAAAAGTATGTTTCAAAGAAAATAATATGTTTCAAAGAACAATTAATTTTAGCATTATGAATTTGATAGATAAGTACTATATGTGAAACATTTTATACTCTTATTTTCTTCACAGAATGAAGCTAGAAAGAAGTATTACAGAGATACTTTAATGATTCGAATCCCTTCATGTTTATGTCAAGATGGAAATTATCTTGCAGAAGTTATTGATAGTACATATAGGACGCCATGGACAAGAAGTATGTTTACTTTTTATTTCTCAAAAATCTGTCTTAAAAATTATTCCAGAGTTTAGTTAGCATAGTCAGTTATTAATAAAATACAGTGGTTCACTCATTAAATAAAAATTCATTATATTTATTCATATCAGAATTACAAGCTGCTTCAAAGTTAATATTTTTATCTTAGAATTTGGGTGATAAATTAAGAAATTAGAAAACTTGTACAAAATATGAAAGGACAAATAAAGGCTATAGATGACTAAATCTTAAAGTATTCTAATGTTGGAAGCATTTGTTGTATTATATTGAGACTTTTCTCAGTATTTGAGGACTACTTCAAATTGTAATGGTATACTGAATATAGAGTTATTTTTAAATATATGTAAAAATATATGTAAAAATATGCTTTTATCAAGTCATGGGCTAGGAGAGAGGTAGCCACCTTGAAAGAATCAAGTCAGTAGCATTTATTATATGTCAGATGCTGTTATACAGTTACTAATAAGATATAGATGTAGTCTTTGCCTTCAATGTGTTTCCAGACTGATAAGGAGGATGAGCATTAAATATATAAACTAATATTTGATCCTGATAAATGTATAAAGAAGACACACGAATGCAATGAGATATACAATTTAAAGATTGGGGACTGCTGTTTCCTAAGATGGTTAGAGAAAGGCCTCTGAAGAAGTAGACATTTGAATTGAGACCTGAATGATAAGACAACAATGATGAAAATATAAGAGGGAGAACCCTTTCAAGCAAATGCAGATGTGAAGTTCATGACTGAGGAAAGAATTTGGTGTGTGTGAGGATTAGACAGTTAAGCTGTTGTGAATGAATGATGCAATGGGGGGAATCTGAGAAATAGACAGCTCAGAATGATATACAGCTTTCCAGAGTTTGTTTCTTTATTCATATTCTTTTTTTTTTTTTTTTTTTTTTGACAGGCAGAGTGGACAGTGAGAGAGAGAGAGAGACAGAGAGAAAGGTCTTCCTTTTGCCATTGGTTCACCCCCCAATGGCCGCCGAGGCCGGCGCACCGCGCTGATCCGAAGCCAGGAGCCAGGAGCCAGGAGCCAGGTGCTTCTCCTGGTCTCCCATGGGGTGCAGGGCCCAAGTACTTGGGCCATCCTCCACTGCACTCCCGGGCCACAGCAGAGAGCTGGCCTGGAAGAGGGGCAACCAGGACAGAATCCGGCACCCCAACCGGGACTAGAACCCGGTGTGCCGGCACCGCAAGGCAGAGGATTAGCCTGTTGAGCCACGGCGCCGGCCTATTCATATTCTGAATGTTTGTGCCTCTACTCCCAAATTATATGTTGATATTTAATCCACAAGGTGATGGTATTTGGAAGTGGGGCCTTTGGGAGAGAATTAGATCATAAAGGTGAGGCTCTCATTGAATGGGATTAGTGGCCTTATAAAAGGCACCCTAGGGGCCAGCCCTGTGGCTTAGCAGGTAGAATAGCAGGTAGAAGCAGCCACTTGCAGTGCCGGCATCCCATATGGGTGCCAGTTTGAGTCCCAGCTGCTCCACTGCCCATCCAGCTCTGCTATGGCCTGGGAAAGCAGTAGAAGATGGTCCAAGTCCTTGGGCTTGGGCTTCTGTTGTCCCTTGTTGCCTTCCTGTAAATAATAAATGGCTTCATGTAACTTGTTGTGTGGGAGTATTCATCTCACCATACTCAGACAAGTTGGTAACCAGTGCACAGTAAACTTGCTTCACAAGCTGTAATTTAAATTGGAGTCATCAATACTCAAATGTAGATTGCACATAATTTCAAGAAACTGGATAAAATCACTGAAAGCATGAGTAGAGATAGAGCAGAGAGCCTAGACAGGCCCTAGAACACTTTAACAGTTGAAAGTCTAATATAGAAGGAGCCAGATAAGAAGTGCGGGAAAAATCAGATGAGTGAAACATTGGAGAATTCTGAAGAACATAGCATTTCAAGAAGGAAGAGGTAGTTAAATGTGTTGGCTCCTGTTAAGACACCAAATAAGATGAGGATAGTGAGTTGACCATCCTCCTTTAGCTTGACTAAATGTAGGTCACTAATAACCTTGATAAGAATGGTTTCACTGGAATATTGGTTGTGAATATGATTGGATTATATTGAGAAGAAAATGCATATGGGGAATTAAGAGAGTAAATTTGGAAAACTTGAACAATTTTGGTGTGAAGGTAAATTTTTAAATGAAGCAGTGAAATAAAGAGTTATTTTTTGTTGTAGTTTTTGGTTAGATGTATAATTTTTTTAAGTGTGATAAGGAGAGAAAATGTAAAACATTAGTCTTGGAGATAATCATGGTAAAAAGAGAACATGATGAGGAAGGAAATAAAAAGTCTGGCTTAGGAGTAAAGGGATAAGAGCAAGAGCACAATTCTCTAATTGTGCTCTAATCTTAAGCTAGTACTTGGCTGTTGATCTGCCCTCAGAAGCTGGCACTAGAACAGTTCTTCCCTCATGTAGATAAGAAGACAGAGTTTGGAGGCATTTATGCCAGTAGGTTGGTAGATTCGGTAGGGGAAGATGGGGTGGCTCTTCTCTATTATATCCATCTTCTGTGTGAAGGTGAGTCATTGACTAAAAGTGGATAGGAGTATGAGCACTAAAGATTGGAGGGGAGAATATGTGAAATAATCACCTTACTGAACCAGAAAGCCAGTTTTATTAGGGGTAAAGTATCATGTAAATGTTGGATGGCCATTTGGAATTTATGAGCATAATTAGAAATAATTTCATTCTGCAAAGCCGGGTGATATTTTTCCTAATAATTTTAAGCTTGTGTTTATATATAGAAAAGAGAAAATCTGCATTTTCTTAATACAGGTAAAGAGGCAAGGAAATCAAGAGTCTTTGTAAGGTTGTGCTGTGGGACTGGCCATGAAACCTAAGCTGTATAAAAAATAAATGATGTCATGAGGAGGGATGATGAGTATTGTAAAAATGGAAAGTTCTTGAATGAATTGAAGGTCTTAATTGGGTTGAAAACTAAAAGAATAGCTTTCCTAAATATGACACTTTAAAAGTACAGAGGGAAAAAAATTATCATTTCTTCCAATTTCTTTCCTTTTTATTTTTTAAATAATAAAAACAAAAAAAAATTGGGCATTTGTAATATGTAAGCACTGTTCTAAGAAATTTGCATGCCTTTTTATATTCAATCTTTACAACAGTGCCATGAAAATGCAATTTTTTCTAATTTTTTTAGAAGATTTTGTTTATTTATTTGAGAGGTAGAGTTACAGACAGTGAGAGAGAGAGAGAGAGAGAGAGGTCTTTCATCCGCTGGTTCACTCCCCAAATGGCCTGAAGCCAGGAGCCAGGAGCAGCTTCTGGGTCTCCCACGAGGGTGCAGGGGCCCAAGGACTTGGGCCATCTTCTACTGCTTTCCCAGGCCATAGCAGAGAGATGGACGGGAAGAGGAGCAGCTGGCTCTAGAACTGGCGCCCATAGGGATGCCAGTGCCCCAGGCAGAGGATTAATCTACTGTGCCACAGCACTGGCCCCTATTTCTAATTTGTACATGAGGAGATGAAGTACAAAGAGGTGATGAGATTTACCCAAGATCATGTAGTTAATTAGTAGCAGTACTAGGATTAAAATGTTCCTAAATCTGTTTACATGAATTACATGAAATTTGTTTACCTTAAATTTAAAAAAATTAAAATAAAAAAATCTAAACAGAGTAATTCCAAAACTTGTATTCTATTCTTTTCTTTTCTTTTCTTTTCTTTTCTTTTCTTTTCTTTTCTTTTCTTTTCTTTTTTTCTTTTTAAAAGGCAGAGTGGACAGTGAGAGAGAGAGACAGAGAGAAAGGTCTTCCTTTGCCGTTGGTTCACCCTCCAATGGCTGCCGCGGCCAGAGCACTGCGGCTGGCGCACCTCACTGATCCGAAGGCAGGAGCCAGGTGCTTCTCCTGGTCTCCCATGGGGTGCAGGACCCAAGCACTTGGGCCATCCTCCACTGCACTCCCGGGCCACAGCAGAGAGCTGGCCTGGAAGAGGCGCAACCGGGACAGGATCCGATGCCCCGACCGGGACTAGAACCTGGTGTGCCGGCGCCGCAAGGCGGAGGATTAGCCTATTGAGCCGCGGCACCGGCCCAAAACTTGTATTCTTAACCACTAAACTTTCATATTTTTTTCAACGAAGACAGGCTCAGGAGCAATAAAACTAGTAAGAAATAACACTGTTCTCCCTCCCTTATATGTGGGAGCTAGAAGTTTAAAAAACTATGAAACAAATGCCCGCGTGTATCAGTTTTGCTGCAAATAATACAATGTTTTGTGAAACTTTGTTTTAATTCTTTGTCAAGTAAGTTAAGAATCATGTTTTAAAAAAACAAAAGGAGTAACACTGATGGTAGAGTACTGATTCTGACTATTGGTGGAAGAATATTCAGCAGTTAGTTTCTGACACTAGTTGACTTGCATATCACTGGTACCTCTGGTTAAGGAACCGTGCATCTAATTTAGGAGACAAGCCATAAATACCTAAAATTTTAAATATAAGACTATATATGATTAAATTCTAGAGTGCTACTGACAATATTGTAGCCCTTCAAGGGTAATGCATTAGAGCTGGAGTGGCTAATAAAGCCTTAGGAGGTATGACTGTCCTGTTGACTAGGACTGTCTGGGATGGGAGTGCTATACAAGCAAAAGAGGAGCTATAAAATTGAGGATAGGATGTTAAGGTGATACTGCTTTGGCTGTAGTTGAGTTCTGGGGTTGAGTATGTTGTAATAATAGAATGATTATTTAAATGTTTGGATTCAGGTATCATTTGGAAAAAATTACATTTGTAAGCATTAAAGAGAACACCATAATATAAAAGTTGGTTTGTATTAAATGTTAAAAAAAAATTGTAGAGACTAATGCTTGTCATTCTCCTTTCTCTAGTCTCAGCTGTTCCAGTTTGGGGAAATACAGATATTTCAGTCTTGGACCAATGGAAAGCAAGTTTCCATGTGGAGGATTTCCTTGAGAAGTATGTGTCCTTAACCTCAAATTTCCCCTTTATGTCTACAAGATGAACAGTAAGTTCTCTGGATACCTAAAGAGGGAAAAATCCCTTCCTTTATCTCCTCAGATTTTCTTCATTTATCTAAAGAAAAAGCACTAATTCGAATCACATAAGGAAGGTTAATAGAAGTGGTTTATATCCTTTTTTTAATCTTTCCCTCATTTATCATATCTTAGCTGTCCTCTATGCATTTGTGTTAAAAAAGAGACAGAGAAATGAAGCCATTATTATGCTTTTAATCAATAAGCAAACTTGCTGTAGAAAGTGTCTATAGAAAGTACTTTGTACTAAAATTATTCTTTTACTCTATATAATAAGTGCAGCTTTAAAGCTATTTTTGAACATAGTTAATCAAAATGTTGTTTTTATTCAATTGTTATCAAATATTTATTGGGTACCGTCCTATATTTTGGGTACATGATTCAAAAATGATTAAGACATAGTCTCTACCTTAATGAAGAAAGAAATTAGGGAATAAAGATTTATAAATGAATAATTACAATGCAGTGTGCAAAGTATAATGACAAATAGGCATACAGAGTATAATATGGAAAAGAACATCTAACCCATCCTATACTGTTAGTGTAGACATGAATGAAAGATTTCAGTGCAAATGCAAGTGATATACTTTGTCGCTTCACTTCATGCAGTGTGCTAATCAGACCCAGGAAGTATTTCATTATTCACATTTTTCAAGTTGAATAGTTAAGTTTTTCTTAGTTGCAAACAAAAAAAGTATGTTTAAATGTGTCTAGACCCTGAATACAATGAAGCCCCAATATACAATTTCTGTCAAGCAAGAATTTAAATCAGCCTAGGAAGATACTATATAAACATAGAAAAAAAGCAATGTGAAAAAATGAATAATATTATAATAGATTAGCATAAGGTCTATTACAAAGCATAAAACCAGTAAGAAGTATCACATAGGCAAACTCCTGAGCAGTGAGGAAACGGAATGGTACAGTGAAAATTGCTCTGCGCTATGCATTAAAAGATGTGGATTGAGGCTGGTGCTGTGGCATGACAGGTAAAGCTGAAGCCTGCAGCATCAACATCCCATGTGGGTGCCGGTTCAAGACCCAGCTGCTCCACTTCTGATCCGAGTTTCTGCTAATGTTCCTGAAAGTAACAAAAGATGACCCATGCCCATCGGCCCCTGCACCCATGTGGGAGACTGGGAAGAAGCTCCTGATGCTGGCTTTGGATTGGCCCAGCTCCTGCCATTGTAGCCCTTTGGGGAGTGAACAAGTGAATGGAAGACCTCTCTGTAACTCTGCCCTTCAAATAAATAAATACATCTTTAAAAACAAAACAAAAAAAAAGTGGATTTCATGTCTTGACTGCCAAAGTCAAGTGCTGAACTACTTGACTAGCCATTTTATCTTTAATTTTCACTTTCTTTAACTGTGTGATGATGATGGATCAGTGTCTCTCAAACTTTACATGTGAGTTGCCTAAAGATCAGATTTAAATGCAGATTATGATTCAGTCAGTCTTTCTTGGGGCATGAGATTCTGCATTTCTAATTTCCCAAGCTTTGCTATTGCTGCTACTCTGAGTAACAAGATACAAACTGATCTCCAAGGTCTCTTCATTCTGTGAGTTATTGATAGGATGGTCTGTACATTTCTAAGTGGCAGAGATCAGATTTACAAAGAAATAGGAGTTGAGCATGGGCTGGGCATTGAAGGAGAAACTAATGAGAGAGAGTTAGAGCAGAGGAAATAGACCGTCTGAAGACACAGAGACAGGAATAAGCAACAGTTAAGCAATAAAGGCAATGATTAGGCTAGTTTGGCTCAAACAAAAGATTCATGTGAGAGAAGTGAGACACTTGGAAGGAGTGACCACGCTATATGTGACCTTCCATTCACTTTGCAGTACCAAGATAGAGTCACAGCAAAGAGGGTGGAATCCAGCACTGCTCAGAATCAAATTACATTTCTCCACCTCCTAGCCAGACATAGCCATGTGACTAGCTTCTTCTGAATGAGATACAAACAAAAGAGGCTTATACAGTTTCTGGAGAATGTTCTTAAAGGGAAAGGATGTGTTTTTAACCTTCACTTTTCTTCCTCCCAATGATGAAATAACAAATCTAATGAATGGCTCCAGCAACTACTTTGTACTATGCTGATAAGAACCAAATCTCTGGGGCCAGTGCTGTGCCAGCGCCAGCGCCTGCAGTGCCAGCGTCCTACATGGGCACCAGTTTAAGACCTGGCTGCTCTACTTCCAATCCAGCTCCATGCTAATGTGCCTGAGAAAGCAGCAGACAATGGCCCAAATCCTTGGGCCCCTGCACCCACATGGGGGACTGGGAAGAAGCTCCTGGCTCCTGGCTTCAGATCAGCCCAGTTCCCAGCGGTTGTTGCCATTTGGGGAGCTGGGCCAATCTGAAGCTAGGACCCAGGAGCCACTTCTAACTCTTCCACGTGGCTGCAGGGACCTAAGGACTTGGGCCATCCTCTGCTGCTTTCCCAGGCACATTAACAGGCTGATGCTATAGGCCAGGGCTTTAACCCACTGCACCACAGCACCAACCCCGTAAATATTTCATATAAATAAAATCATATGTTATATGATTTTTTGTGATAGACATAATTTACTTACTGTTTTCAAGATTCATCCACATTGTAGTTTGTATCAGTACTTCATTTCTTTTAATGCCAAATAACAATTCTTTATGGATATTAGGGTTATTTCTACTTTTTAACTATTATGAGTAATGCTACTTTGGACATTTATGTACAAGTTTTTAGGTAGAAGTATGTTTTCATTTCTCTATGTAATACTGGAATTGCTAGGTCATACGATAATTCGTTATTTAGCTGTTTGAGAAATTGCCAGATTTTTATCCAAGCAGCTGTACCATTTACACTCCCACCAGCAGTGTATAAAGGCCCCAATTTATTCATATTCTCACCAATATTTGATATCATATGTCATTTTTATGACAGCCATCCTAGTAGATGGCTCACTTTATCTTATTGTAGTTTTGATTTCATTTCCTTGATGATTAATGATGTTGTATGTCTGTTCATGGCCTTATTTGTCTTTAGCATATTTGCTTTGGAGAAATGTCTATTCAGGTCATTTGCCTACTTATAAACTGGGTTATCTTTTTATTATCAGATTTTAAGAGTTCTTTATGTATTCTGGATGCAAGTCTCTTATCAGATACATGGGTATAATTTGCAATTTTTTTTGTCTTAATGGATGTCTTTTCGCTTTCAAGATGCTATCCTTTAAAGCAAAACATTTTAAAACTTTGAAACAGTCAATTTACCTTGTTCTTTGGTCACTTGAGCTTTTGGTGTCATAGCTAAGACGGCTTGGCCTAAGTCAAAGTCACAGGGATTTATTCCTATATTTTCTCATAAGAGACTGCCTAATTAAAAGACCCAAGTCGAATCATAAATTACTTCTATTATAACCCACCAATGGTGTCCCATTGCACATAGAATAGAATCCAAAGTCCTCACCAAGGCTTAAAAGGTCAAACATGATTTGCTTCCTACATGCCTGTCTAACCTTACTCTGTTCCAGTCACCCCTACCTGTCTGCTTTTCTTAGCACAGGCCAACCAATTTCCCCACTTTAGACCGTTCTTTTTCATTACTCAGTAGCTGCAGATACAGTAGCTTCTCAGAGGGTCGGTCACTAACTAGCCTCTCTAAAATATTCCTCTTCCAATCCCCTGGCTGTTATTTGATGTCCATATCTTGTTTTATTTCATTCATAGAGGCTTTTTTACTATCTGAAGTGATGTTTTATATTTATTTGTCTATCTTTCCTTTTGCAGGCAAGCTTCTTGAGGGCAAGAATTTTGTTTGGTTCAGAACTCCTAACTTTTTAAAAAATTTTTTTAATTTATTTATTTGACAGGTAGAGTTATAGACAGTGAGAGAGAGACAGAGAGAGGTCTTCCTTCTGTTGATTCACTCCCCAAATGGCCACTACGGCCGGCGCTGCGCTGATCCAAAGCCAGGAGCCAGGTGCTTCTTCCTGGTCTCCCATGCAGGTGCAGGAGCCCAAACACTTGGGCCACCCTCCACTGCCCTCCCGGGACACAGCAGAGAGCTGGACTGGAAGAAGAGCAACCGGGACTAGAACCCGGAGCCCATATGGGATGCCGGCGCCTCAGGTGGAGGATTAACCAAGTGAGCCGTGGTGCCGGCCCCCAGAACTCCTAACTTTTAAGTTAAGGAATTAATGAATGGGAGTGGACGAACTTACCCAAAAGGAATGACACAGAAAGAAAGACAGACAATATTTTCTAGACTGGATATGTCGGAAACACCATAATTTACATGTTAGGTAAAGGAGGAGGCACCAGTAAAGACAGAATGAGTAATATTGGATAGGGAGATAGGAGATGAGACAGAAACAGTGGTCTTCATAGATCATTTATATCTGGGGAAAGAGAATTAGTTGAATGTTCTTGAAACTACAGCATCATGTATTATTGCAAAGTGCTACTCTGTTGGCAACATAATCTTTTTTTTTTTTTTAAGATTTATTTATTTATTTGAAAGTTAACGTAACACAGAGAGAGGAGAGGCAGAAAGAGAGAGGTCTTCTATCCGGTGGTTCACTCCCCAGTTGGCTGCAGAGGCCAGAGCTGGGCTGATCCGAAGCCAGGAGCCAGGAACTTCTTCCAGGCCCCCCACATGGGTGCAGGGGCCCAAGGACTTGGGCCATCTACTGCTTTCCCAGACAAAGGCAGAGAGCTGGCTCGGAAGTGGAGCAGCTGGAACTCAAACCAGCGCACGTATGGGATGCCGGCACTTCAGGTGGCAGCTCTACCCGCTATGCCACAGCGCCGGCCCTGGCAACATATTTTTTTAAAAAGACAGCAACAAAGGGCTGGCATAGTAGGTTAAAGCTCCACCTGCAGTGCTGGCATCCCTTATGGGCACCAGTTCTAGTCCTCCTTGATGGCCTGAGGAAGCAGTGGAAGATGGCCCAAGTGATTGGGCCCTTGTACCTGTATGGGAAACATGGAAGAAGCTCCTGGCTCCTAGCTTCCATCTGGCCCAGCTCCAGCTGTTGCAGCCATTTGGGGAGTGAACTAGCAGATGGAAATTCACTCTGTTTATCTCTCTGTGTAACTATGCCTCTTAAACAGATAAATAAATTTTTTTAAAGATTTATTTATTTATTTGAAAGGTAGAGTTACACAGAGAGAGAGAGAGAGAGAGAGAGAGAGGTCTTCCATCCTCTGGTTCACTCCCCAACTGGCCGCAACGGCTGGAGCTGTACCGATCCGAAGCCAGGAGCCAGGAGCTTCTTCCAGGTCTCCCACACAGGTGCAGGGGCCCAAGGACTTGGGCCATCTTCTACTGCTTTCCCAGGCAATAGCAGAGAGCTGGATCAAAAGTGGAGCAGCTGGGACTTGAACCAGCGCCCATAGGGGATGCTGGCACTGCAGGCGGCAGCTTTACCCACTATGCCACAGTGCTGGTCCAGGAAGATATCTTATAATACCAAATACTCTAATTGGCAGATAAACCTGTATCAGTTAAGAAACCAATATTGGCAAAGTTAAGGAAGTCAAACAAAGTCCCCAGGACTAGCAACAGCAGATGTTGTCACCACCCTAAGCTTGAAGAAGGAGCAAGGGAACTAAGCAAAACCCAGTAAGAGCTACAGCTCTAGGAGAGGGGCTGTCTGACAAGATAACCATTGGTAGAAGAGGGCAGCCACTTCCCAACTGTGGCTCAGCACTGAAGAATTCGGAAAGAATGCTTTTCTGGCTATCTCTCACCTTTGAACTTCTAGTGCATGTCATTTGCTAAACTCAACAAGAAGAGACAGGGCATGGAGTCTTGGTTGATTCACAGAGGTCAGCATCCCAGGTTGCAGACCAAAATATAAAAGGTTGTATAATGATACTGAGGAAGAGACATTGAATATGGCACAAGGGCAGTTTTACGGTGCATGGCAAAACCTAGAAATCTGTATCATCTTAAGCTCATTATTTCTGCTTTTAGGAGATGTGTTTTGAAAAAAATGATCAGATAAGTACACAAAGATTTTCTTTGCAGTGTTGCTTATAATAGCAAATAAAACAAATTTCTAGTAGTAGGGAACTTGCTGAATAAATTGTGATTTCCTGATATAATGGGATAATGTTCACCCATTCAAAAATGAAATGAGTGCAATTGAGTGATAAGCGAATGTTCTCATTCTTTATTACTTAGTACTAAAAAAGCTATAGAATAATTAATCAATTTTCTTTTAAAATATCCAAAAAATAAGTGAGAAATTTATATAATTTCTGCATTCATCTCAAGTAATGGAGCTGTAATTTTTCTCTGTATCTGTTGAAATTTGATATTGAAATTTGACATATCCTATTTATTAATAAAAAATCTTCTAAAATAGGACATATGTAAAATCAATTTTATAATGTCATAGGAAAACACCTGCAAGAATGGTTACCCGGGTTAATTGCAACTGTGAAGAAATTGTTCCAAGTTCAAATCCAAACTCACAACCTGAAGTAGAAGAAGGCAGCTTTTACACCTTCCAGGACTACAGTGAAGTCTTTACACCTATCAAGTGTTCAGAGAAATATTCATCTTCTCAGGCACAGAGCCAAGGTATTATATTTGTTATTTAATTGTTATAAATCATTTCTTACTAACACAATGATTTTTATTTCAGTTTTTCTCTAATTGGCTTTAAATTATTTTTATTACATATATTTACTGCATAATTACAATTCTAAACTTTGCGACATTAGAGAAATATTTACTTTTTTTTTTTTGACAGGCAGAGTGGACAGTGAGAGAGAGAGAGAGAGAGAAAGGTCTTCCTTTGCTGTTGGTTCACCCTCCAATGGCCGCCGCGGCAGGAGAAGCACCTGGCTTCTCCTGGTCTCCCATGGGGTGCAGGGCCCAAGCACTTGGGCCATCCTCCACTGCACTCCCTGGCCACAGCAGAGAGCTGGCCTGGAAGAGGGGCAACCGGGACAGAATCCGGCGCCCCGACCGGGACTAGAACCCGGTGTGCTGGCGCCGCTAGGTGGAGGATTAGCCCAGTGAGCCGTGGCGCCGGCTGAAATATTTAATTTTTTTTAAAAAAGATTTATTTATTTATTTGAGAGTCATAGTTACATAGAGAGAGAAGGAGAGACAGAGAGAGAGAGAGGTCTTCCATCGGCTGGTTCACTCCCCAATTGGCCACAATGGCTGGAGCTGTGCCAATCTGAAGCCAGGAGCCAGGAGCTTCTTCCCAGTCCCTACGTGGGTGTAGGGGCCCAAGGACTTGGGCCATCTTCCACTGCTTTTCCAGGCTTTAGCAGAGAGCTGTATTGGAAGTGGAGCAGCTGGGACTCAAACCTGCACCCATATGGGATGCCAACACTGCAGGTGGCGGCTTTACCCACTACGCCACAGCACCATTCCTAGAAATATTTACTTTTTCATGATGATCTTCTTTTGTAAATTGGGTTAGTTTAGGAGTTTGCTGAGCCTCAAAGTTACCTATAGAGATTTGTTTGTAGTGTACTTACAACAGATCGCTAATGTGATATTAGCATCTGTATACGGATCTGATGATGTAGCATTCCACTATAACAATAAATTACTGGATTATGATGTGATGGTTATATTTCATTTTTCAAAATATGCTAATGATTTCCAGTGTCTTCTAACTTGTCTGAAACCAAAGTTCAAATAGAGATGGAGTAGCTGCAGTGTAAAGTGAAGGTATAAATAGATAGATAGATAGATAGATAGATATAGATACTCAGTTTTACAGATTTCCTATAAATAATAATTGAAAGTGTATTTTATACAAACTATAGTCCAAATCGCTCATCTTACTAGAGGGTGCTGAATTCTTTCAACCATTTAAAAAGCTGCTGATAATTGCCTTCCTGGTATGTGTAATAGCCTATTCCCTTTTTAAATTATAAAACTTAAGGCTTTATTATATAATAACTGTGATCATTTAAGAAATGCTATAGCTGAGTATGAAAATACTTTGGTTCTTTTATTGTTATTTTTATGCATAAACAAAAATTGTGCATAAAATTTTTAGTGTTGGCTGGGTATGTGGTGATATATACAGAAATTCGTCTGATAATTTTGAGGAGAGAGAAATTATATTAAATTAAAGACTAAACTTGAGAACATAATATAATAGAAAAGGCCTGATTTGGAGTCAAGAAGATATGAATTTGCAGTCCAAATCTACTTCTAAGAAGCGGTACAGAGGAGCAGGCATTGTGGTATGCTGCTTGGGAAGCCGCGTCCCACATCAGAGTGCCTGGTGAGTCCCGGCTGCTCTGCTTCTGATCCAGCTTTCTGCTAAGGTGATCCTGGGAAGCAGCAGGTGATGGCTCAAGTAGTTGAGTTCCTGCCATATACGTGGGACACCCAGAGGGAGTTCAGGGCTCCTGACTTTGACCTAACTTAGCCCCGGTTGTTGCAGGCATTTGGGTAGTGAACTAGCAGATGCAAAGTATCTCTGTCTCTCTGTCCCCCTCCTTCTCTCTCTTTCTCCCTCTCCCTTTCAAATAAACTAACTTTGAAAAAAAAAAATGCATATGTCTTATTGTGAAAATATCTGGGTTCATACTTGGCTCTGGCTCCTGACTTCAGCTTCCTGTTAATACAGATCCTGAGAGGAAGTTGTGAAGTTTCAAGTAATTGGGTTCCTGTAACTCACATGGGAGACCTGGATTGAGTTCTCAGTTCCCAGCTTTGGCCCTGGCCTAGGCCTGCCTGTTACAGGCATTTGGGGAGTAAAGCAATGAATGGGAGCTCTGTCTCTTTCTCCCTTTCTCTCTGCCCCTCTCAAATAAAAATAAATTAATAAAATTTTAAAGAAAAAGTGGGAAAGTTGTCATTCTATGACTTGGGGAAATTTTTATGGTTTTTCAGTATTTTTTTATAATTTCTCTCTATTAACCTATTCTAATTTCTTATAAAAATTTTGTGGGGATAAAACAATATGTATATATGTAAATAAATAGTTTGTAAGAATAATGGGCTATACAAACATAGCTATTATTGTTAATGTGGCAAATTAGAAGTGACTTGGCTAGAATCCACTATTCACTGAAAGAAAATATGCTTGAATTTCCCAAATACAAAAGGGTCATGTGTCATTAGCAATTTCACTTGCTTTCTCTACAATTATATTGACTATTGCCAGGTTTGTAGATACCTTTGTTCTTACTGTCTAAATCTGAAGGATCATATACTTTAAAATCAACTGATACTCTAAATTTGCTGTGTTTTGTAAGAAATATAATTACTAAATTATAAGATAATTTCAAAACATTTAAAACATAAAAATACTGACTGGTTTTCTTTGCTAGTTGGTTTGTTGAAATTTAATAATTTTTCTACACTGTTCATATATTATTTGTCAATACAAAAAATAACCATTTTCTTGAGTATCATAGGTATTGTGGGAACATATGAGCAAATTTAACTATAGCTGCGATGTTTTTAAATAAAGTTATACATGTATATAGTTTATAGAGTCAGATAGTTCATTAAATTTTATAATAGAAAGCAGCAATCTCCTGACTTCATCAACCACTTCCGTTTTTTTACTCTTTAGAGGCAACTGCTTTTAACTTTTGAAACCGTTTCAGAACGAATTCTATTTCTTTTACCACTTATTTATGTATCTGTGCTGCTATTGCTTGATTTTTTTTTTTTTAGCTTTAGGCTTTATCTATTGACTTCTCATCATGAAAATGAAGATGTAACTGCTTCATTCTTCTATACCTTCACTACCACATACACTTAAATTTCCTAATGTATGTGTATTCCTAATGTATGTGTATCTCCCAATGTAGTTGTATTACAACTTTGGTCAAATCAGTATTTACGATTAATAGAATTATGGTTGTATAAATAGCTATTCTTGGCTGAAAACAGTATTGTGGTTTTAATTATTTCTTTCTTGTATTCCATAAAGTTAAGGCTTCTTGGGCCGGCGCCGCGGCTCACTAGGCTAATCCTCCACCTTGCGGCGCCAGCACACCGAGTTCTAGTCCCGGTCGGGGTGCCGGATTCTGTCCCGGTTGCCCCTCTTCCAGGCCAGCTCTCTGCTGTGGCCAGGGAGTGCAGTGGAGGATGGCCCAAGTGCTTGGGCCCTGCACCCCATGGGAGACCAGGATAAGTACCTGGCTCCTGCCATCGGATCAGCGTGGTGCGCAGGCCGCAGCACGCTGGCCACAGTGGCCATTGGAGGGTGAACCAACAGCGAAGGAAGACCTTTCTCTCTGTCTCTCTCTCTCACTGTCCACTCTGCCTGTCAAAAAAAAAAAGTTAAGGCTTCTTTTCTATTTTTCTTCTTTTTCCATATATTTCATACACAGAACTTGATATTGCAGCTCTCACCTAGTTATTTAAAACTCCTCTTAATACATTCAAACATCAGGTATACTACTAGTTTTTATCTTTGGACATTTTAGTTCTAGAACCAGTAATTATCAGCTTCACCCTTGGGCATCCTGTCTCCTTTTTTTTATATTGGGTCCTGTGTTTCTTCAGTTCTGTGGCTATCAATGTACTCAGTTCACTCCCACCATACTTTAAGAGTACTTCTACTTGTGGCTTTCAGCATGCTAAGTATGTCTTTTGAAAACGTCCATGTCCTGAAATCTTAATTCTATCATCACCTTTAAAAGATTGTGTGACTAACTGGAGAATTTAATATTGGAAATAATATTTTCTTTTTCAAAAAGATTTATTTATTTGAAAGACAGAGTTCGAGAGGCAGAGGAAGAGAGAGAGAGAGAGAGGAAGAGGGAGAGGGAGAGGGGGAGAGAGAGAGAGTGTGTGTGTCTTTTATCCACTGGTTCACTCCTCAGATGTCTGCAATGGCCAGAGCTGGGCTGATCCAAAGCTAGGAACCAGGAGCTTCCTCCAGTCTCCTGTGCGAGTGCAGGGGCCCAAGGACTTGGGCCATCTTCTACTGCTTTCCCAGGCCATAGCAGAGAGCTGGATCAGAAGTGAAGCAGCCAAGAGTTGAACTGGCACCCGTAGGGGTTGCTAAGACTGCAGGCAGAGGCTTTACCTGCTGTGCCACAGCACCTGCCCCATAATATTTCCTTAGAATTTCAAAGACATTGCTACATTTTACTCTAGCTTTCAGTATTACTGTTAAGAACTCCAGTGCCTCTTGAATTCATAAATGTTTTCACATGATCTCCTTTTTATATTGAATAGTTTAATGATTTTTTATTGTAGCCTTCTGAAATTTCATGATGGCTTTCCTTGTTGTGGATCTGTTTTCATACACTAGGCTAACTATATGATGTACCTTATCAATCAGGATATTCCTGAATTCAGTTTTTTTAAATGTATTTGTTTATTTGAGAGGCAGAATTACAGAGAGGGAGAGACAGAAAGGGAGGTCTTTCATCACTCGTTCAGTACCCAAATGGCCACAATGGCCAGAACAGGGCTGTTCCAAAACCAGGAGCCACGAGCTTCTTCCAGGTCTCCCATGTATATGCAGGGGCACAAGCACTTGGACCATCTTCTGCTGCTTTCCAAGGCCATTAACAGAGAGCTGGATTGGAAGAGGAGCATCCAGGACAAGAACTGGCACCTATACAGTGTGCTGGCGCCACAGATGGAGGCTTAACCTACTATGTCACAGTGCCAGCCCTCCTGCAATTCAGTTTTAAGAAAATTTCTTGAATTATGTCTTTGATGAATTCCTTTCCTTAGTTTTCTCTTGTTCTCTCTTCTTGAATCTCCTGCTATTCATTTATTGAGGTCTTCTTTAGTGTCCTTTAATAAAAATTTTTTTCTTCATAAAGATATTACTAATCTTTTATGAGATTTATCCCTGAGTACTTTATTTTAGCTACCATTATTTTATTTCTAAAACAAGTTTTCTGTTTATTATTTGTGTGTAACAAAAGGCAGTTCATTTTTATAGTGCTCTTATATTCACCCACCTCTTAGACTAATATTAATCCCAGCAGTTAATTGTCATGGCATAATCATGTTGTCTATGAATAATAAGCACATATTTCTTCCTTTACAATGTTTATATTTTTTTTCTTACCCTACTGACAAGGACTTCAATGCATTGTTTTGTAGAATTAGGATAGTTTCTATCCTTGTCTTGTTCCTGACAGTGAAGGAAATGTTTCCAGTATTGAAACTTTACTGGTGAGATGTTAAAGGCATTTCCTTTATTGGGCTGTGGAAACTTCCTTCCTGTTACTACTTTTAAACATAAATGAAGATTGAATTTTATTAACATTTTTCTCTGTGTATCAACATATATCTGAATTTTAAATACACAGAATGCCCCTTCACTAAAAACTCACCCAACAATCCAAAGATAAATTGTTTATTATTGTGAGCATACTATGTATGCATTATATTATTTTATATGTTAACATTATTGGGGTCCACGCTTGGTGCGTGGGTTAAAGCTGCAGCCTGCAGTGCTGGCATCCCATATGGGCACCAGTTCAAGTCCTGGCTGCTCCACTGCTGATCCTGCTCTCTGCTATGGCCTGGAAAAGCAGTAGAAGATGGCCCAAGTCCTTGGGCTCCTGTACCCATGTGGGAGACCTGGAAGAAGCTCCTGGTTCCTAGCTTCGGATCAGCTCAGCTCTGACCATCGCGGCCATTTGGGAGGGAACCAGCAGATTGAGGATCTCTCTCTCTCTCTGCCTCTGCCTCTCTGTAACTCTGCCTTTCAAAGAAATAATAAATCTTTTTGAAAAAAGTTAACATTATCTTGGAAACATTTCATTGTATATTTAAGCTAAATCTTTTTGAAAAAAGTTAACATTATCTTGGAAACATTTCATTATATACTTAAGTTTTCTTCAAAAGCTTGGGTTTTGGAGCCAGCGCTGTGGCATAGTGGGTAAAGCCGCCACCTGCAGTGTTAGCATCCCATATGGGCACCAGTTCAAGTCCTGGCTGCTCCACTTCCAATCCTGCTCTCTGCTGAAGCCTGGGAAAGTAGTGGAAGATGGCCCAAGTCCTTGGGCCCCTGCACCCGTGTGGGAGACTAGGAATATGCTCCTGGCTACTGGCTTCAGATCAGTGCGGCTCCGGCCATTGCGGCCATCTGGGGAGTGACCAGTGGGTGGAAGACTCTTTCTCTGCCTCTGTCTCTCTGTAACTCTGCCTTTCAAATAAATAAATAAATCTTTAAAAAAAAAAGAAATCTTGGGTTTTAATGACTGCAGTTTTAAATCTTTTGTATGTAACACACATTCCCCAGTTTGAGGGTATTCATGGTTTAAATTTCAGATCTGTACATAAATGTATGTTCTTATTTCAGATTATTTCCATAGAGTGAATTCCTGGAAATGGGCTACATGATATAAGTGTTTTTCTCAACTATATGTCCACTAGCACTGTATAAGAATATTTTGTTCTGGGGCCAGTGTCTGGCACAGCAGGTTAAGCTGACACTGGCATCCCATATGAGTACCAGGTAGAGTCCTGGCTGTTCCACTTCCAATCCAATTCCCTGCTAATGCACCCACATGGGATGCCAATGTCACAGGTGATTGCTTTACCCACTATGCCATAACACCAGCCCTCCAAAAAAGTTTTTTATTTTCTTCCATATTCTTTCTGAACATTTTTATTCATTGATATTTCACATATTGGTAGTTATCATGAATGTTTTTAATTAATTTTTGGACTAGATTGTATGTATTAGAAAACCATTAATTTTATAATTCTTATCAGACACTTCAGTAAACTCCTTTGTTTGTTTTCAATTCATTATCTTGGGTTTTCTAGGTAGACCAAAGTATCTTCTGCAAAAAATAAGCATCTTCTTTCCTCTCAATAGACCTCTTCTTTTTTTCTGCCTTTTTTTTTTCATGGTTAACTAGTCAGAATTTTGTTTCCTGGTGACAGTTTAACACTCCCCTATAATAGAGGAAAGCAGTTGCTTTATATCTATGTAGAACACATAGTAGTTCTAATAAAGTAGGAACTCTCCTACTTTATTTAACTCACCCTTGGTAAAACCTCTCTATAATCTATAATTATAAAGAACATTTGTTGTGGTGAGATGCTGCCCTCAAGTGGTACCATCAAAGGGTACTTGGAAAACAAGACCTATAACTGACATACAATGTCCAACATCCACACACACACACACACACACACACACCCGTGTATTCCCACAATGTATGGGAATGCATGGAGGGAAGATGGCTGGAGAAGTCTGGAAGTGGTTGGTGGAAGTGGAGGTATAAAACAATTCTGTTTGGGTTTTTTACTGATAATAACTCCATTAATATTACATAATAGACTATATCAGCCCATCTTTAACTTTCTCAAATATACTCTCTTTAGACATAGTATTGATTGACTAGCTTTCTTTGGTGTATCTTGGGAAGCTTTTGGCCATGAGATCCTCAGGAACTTAATGGGTTCACATAAACAATCTCTTAGGAGGCCAGTTTGTATCACAGGTTCTCTTTTGGCATATCTGGTTAGCCAGCAGCAGGCAAAAGAATGTTAGCTGGCTGCCTGTCTTACACCACATGTTTGTTAGATACATACATACAAATTATGTAGTTGGCTATGGGAGAAATCACTATGTGAAAACTATATAGTATTGCTCTCTCATGTCACTATCCATAGCAAGAGAATGTTGCTTCTCTGGTCAAGGTGGTCCTCACTTTTAGGAACTTGGCTCTCTTAGTAATTCTTCATCTGAGTATACATCATGCCTTTTCTCTGTCTACCCAGGAGCTAATTGAAGAGTGGGGGAAGTTTTTATGTTCCTCCCCAAAGCTCAGAAACTATGAAAGCTCTCTCACAGCCAAGATCCTAAAGTCACCCAAAGATGGCAGGGTGGGGTAGAGTGGATACATTTATTCCAGCAATTGACTGTTAACAGTAGAGTTTCTTAATATGTAAGCTATACCACACTTCTCAAGTAGATACTTCTCTATATAACTTTCATTGTGAACAATCTAATAGCAGCCATGTATGAATAACTTTAGAATGACAGAATCAGGGTTGACCTCCTTGGTATGCTGTATAAACCATCATCATTCCCTACATGCTAGAGTCTCTGGAGGATGAACTGCAGACCTTAAGATATAAAATGATGTAGAGAGAAGACCAGGCTGGCATCGTGGTGCAGTAGGTTAAGCCACTGCTTGTGATGCTGCCATCCGGTGTGATTTAGGCCTAGGCCCAGCTCCTGCTGTTGCAGCATTTGGACAGTTAATCAACAGATTGAATATCTCTGTTTCTGTCTGTCTCTTTCTCTCTCTCCCTCTCTCTGTTGCACTGCCTTTCAAATAAGTAAATACATAAATCTTTTTAAAAGGAGATGGGGGAGGGGCAGCTGGTGCTGTGGCACTGCAAGTTAAAGCCCCAGCCTGAAGCACCGGCATCCCATCTGGGCACCGATTCTAGTCCTGGCTGCTCTACTTCTGATCCAGCTTTCTGCTAGGGCCTGGGAAAGCAGTAGATGATGGCCCAGGTCCTTGGGCCCCTGCACCCATGTGGGAGACTAGGAAGAAGACTGGAAGAAGGAGACTAGGAAGAAGACTAGAAGAAGCTCCTGGCTCCTGACTTCGAAACAGCTCAGCTCTGGCCATTGCAGCCATTTAGGGAGTGAACCAGCAGATGGAAGACCTCTTTCTCTTTCTCTCTATCTCTACCTCTCTCGGTAGCTCTATATTTCAAATAAATAAAAATAATTTTAAAAAAAAGGTGATAGGGAAGACCAGAGTCAGCAAAAATCAAATGCTTTTATTTGGAAGTATAAAAGCACAGAGATTACTTAAGCTAATCTGTTGATCAAGTTTAAGATATTACGCCTCTTTTGGCATACTTGGCTATTCCTCAGTGTAACATATAATATTAGAATTTATTGAGTTTTTCCTGTGTTTCAATACTATCCAACATGCTTTATATGGACAGTATGATGAAGAACTAAAGAATTAAAAATGTGTTTGGAAAACACAACTATATCTAATAGCTGATTTTAGTAAGTATCTAGATTCCTTTGTATAATGTTGTTTTTTCTTATTCCTTTATATTTCTTATTTATTTTCAGATTTATATATTGATGAAGAAATGATTTTTGTAAATAGTTTGATGGATTATAAAAATCAGCTACCAACTTTGCAAACTCTCTTGAGTAGACTAAAATTATTTAAGTTAAAGGACCCTCTTATAGATTTCAAAAAACAGACCTTCAATGAAGATATTGTTTTCAGGTAGTTAATTTCTCATTGCTGTAAATATTTTTAAGGGAAGCAAACATTCTTTGAATGATCATAAGTTTAGATACTATCAATAATATTTCCTCATATTACTGAACTCAACTTTAATTTTAATTATTATATGTTTTGATTGGCAACATTTAGTACACAATTTACTTTTCATAAACACTAATTATTAATATTGCTTTTCTTTTAAGGGAATGTTTATCATCTCAAGGAAGTTGGGACGTTTTTCTGAAAGATCTTTATATGGATAAAGAGAACTTTTGTAAGGTGGAACTAGGAGATGCAGATTTAAATGAGGTTATAATATTTGCTTTCTGTAATATGAAACTAATGAAGCACATGTCTATAAACATTATTAAAATATAATGAATTGAATATGTATCAACTAAGGAATCAAATTTACTTCCCAATAGTGGTTCTTTGGCTTGCACAAAAGAACTACCTGAAGAATTTAAATATACATATCTGATTTAATTAGTGTGATAAGCAGGAAAAGTTTAGAGAACTTCAAAACCTTTCCCAATAATTTTAATCACTAGCCGGGGTCTAGGAAATTAAGTACTCATGTCTAATTTAAGATTGGAGACTAGAGCTAGGAAGATTGATTTGTGAGTTATGCACAAGTCGATAGTACTGAGCTTTCAGAGAAGTGATCTCATTGAGAGAGTGAGAATGTAGAGAATCCAAAAACTGAATATTAGGTGCTGCCAATGTCTATTAAGGAAGGTGGCATCTTTGCCTATAAAAGGTAAAGTACTCAAAGATAGCTCCCCTTTTCATCATGCAATTCCAACAGTATACAAGGTTGTTACTGTGCTCTGTTTATAAAGAGTTTCTCACAGTTGAAAATGCTAGTAACTTTTACAGTTTAACAAACTCAAAAATGTAGAACTATGTGGATTAGATGCTTTCACAGAGTTACTTAAAAATATTTTGGGGTGAGATAATAGGAAATTTTAAAAAAATATTATTTATTTGAAAGGTAAAGTTACAGAGAGGCAGAGAGAGAGAGAGAGATGTCTTCCATCCGCTGGTTCACTTCCCAGATGGCCGCAACAGCTGGAGATGTGCTGATCCAAAGCCAGGAGCCAGGAGCTTCTTCCGGGTCTCCCATGTGAATGCAGGGGCCCAAGGACTTGGGCCATCTTCCACTGCTTTCCCAGACCATAGCAGAGAGCTGGATGGGAAGTGGACCAGCTGAGACTAGAACTGGCGCCCATATGGAATGCCATTACTGCAGGTGGCGGCTTTACCTGCTATGCCACAGCACTGACCTCCAGAAGTGTTTTATATTTGGGGATTTTCTTAATATGTCCAAAGCACATATATTACATATAGTGGACTTAAAACATTAAAATTAAAATTAATTAAAAACTGAACATGAGAGTGAAAATATTAATTCACCTATTGGCCCCTTATTTCCAGTCTGTATTCTGTTCCCCTTTACCTCTGGGAGGCATGCCAGTAGTCTCACTTGTTGAGGAATCCAATTCTGTAGGAATGAGAGAAAAAATTCCATAGAGTGCAGAAAACATCCACTCCACTCCATGGTCTCTCTCTCTCTCTCTTTTTTTTTTTTTTTTTTTTTTTTTGACAGGCAGAGTGGACAGTGAGAGAGAGAGAGAGAAAGGTCTTCCTTTGCCGTTGGTTCACCCTCCAATGGCTGCCACACGCTGATCCGATGGCAGGAGCCAGGTACTTCTCCTGGTCTCCCATGGGGTGCAGGGCCCAAGCACTTGGGCCATCCTCCACTGCACTCCCTGGCCACAGCAGAGAGCTGGCCTGGAAGAGGGGCAACCGGGACAGAATCTGGTGCCTCAACCGGGACTAGAACCTGGTGTGCCAGCGCCGCAAGGCGGAGGATTAGCCTAGTGAGCCGTGGCACCGGCCTTCATCGTCTCTTTTTATCCCCTCATTTACCATCTCTCATGTGCTGCAGTGATAGTTTTTAATTTAGAGGATATTTCTGTCTCTGGGGATATTGTGCATCACTGATGTAATGAGTGACCATAAAAGACATTTTTCAGAGAGAATATTCTTTATAATAGAATGTATTTTGACTGCTACATTTCTGTTTTTAAAAAATATGTTAGGGGCTGGCACTGTGGTGTAGTGGGTAAAGCCGCCATCTGCAATATCAGCATCCCATGTGGGCGCCAGTTCGAGTCCTGGCTGTTCCACTTCTGATCCAGCTCTCTGCTATGGCCTAGGGAGTCCTTGAACCCCTGCACTCACATGGGAAGACCCGGAGGAAGCTCCTGGCCCCTGGCTTTGGATTGGCACAGCTCCAGCGGTTGCTACCATCTGGGGAGTGAACCAGTGGATGGAGGGTCTCTCTTTCTCTCTTCCTCTGCCTCTCTAAAACTCTGCCTTCAAACAAACAAACAAACAAGTAAATAAATCCTTTTAAAAAATTATGTTTAGCGGGCCGGCGCCATGGCTCACTTGGTTAATCCTCCACCTGCGGCGCGGGCATCCAATGTGGGCACCGGGTTCTAGTCCTAGCTGCTCCTCTTCCAGTCCATCTCTCTGCTATGGCCTGGGAAAGCAGTAGAAGATGGCCCAAGTGCTTGGACGCCTGCACCTGCATGGGAGACCAGGAGGAAGCACCCGGCTCCTGGCTTCGGATTGGCGTAGCTCCGGCCATTGCAGCCATTTGTGGGGTGAACCAACTGAGGGAAGACCTTTCTCTCTCCCTCTCTCTCTCACTCACTGTGTAACTCTGCCTGTCAAAATAAAAAAAAATTATGTTTAGCATTAAAAATTTTTGAGTATGAGATTAGTTTAATTTTAATTTGGCACACCATTTAAGCAACTGTATCCATTTATGACTAAAAATGTTTATTTGGAAAAATTCACTAAAACCTTATTTTAACTGTATATTATTTCAGCCATTATTTTTTTATTTTGAGTTTGAATCCTTACTATCTACAATTCTTAAACAAGAAACTAGTGTTCCATCACTGTCAGACCTGAAGGAGTTATTAAACTTAACGCCAGAAGTAATAAATTACGTAGATGAAAATGAAAAGCTTTTCAAAAGAGGTAAGAATTACTTTTAAAATGTATTTCTTATAAAAACCACTTAATGTTTGTTCCACAAACATTCCACAAGTCTTTTCTGTGTATTACATGTTAAAATTTCAGAACTATTCTCTTTGTCATTCTCTTTCTACTACTTCCAGGCTTAAGACTTCTCTGAAATCAGTATAACTATTTCAAGGTAATTGCACAAATACATCTGAAACACCTATGACTTCACTAATGTTTTAAAGAGCTGTTTTCTTATGTACAGTGAGGGCACTATCAATTTCTACATTGGCTTTGGTTAGCTTTGGAGAGGCTCTTTAGTAAGGAGCTCAGAGGTCGGCGCCGTGGCTCACTCTCCACCTGTGGTGCTGGTATCCTAGGGTTCTAGAACCGGTTGGGGCGCCAGATTCTGTCCCGGTTGCTCCTCTTCCAGGCCAGCTCTCTGCTGTGGCCTGGGAAGGCAGTGGAGGATGGCCCAAGTGCTTGGGCCCTGCACCCGCATGGGAGACCAGGAGGAAACACCTGGCTCCTGGCTTCAGATTGGCGCAACGCGCCAGCTGTAGCAGCCATTTGAGGGGTGAACCAACGGAGGGAAGACCTTTCTCACTGTCTCTCTCGCTAAAAAAAAAAAAAAAAAAAAAGTAAGGAGCTCAGAATAAGGATTCATGGAATCAGATGATTGAGAGTTATAACCTAGAATTTAGATGGTTCCCAGTTAACTTTAGTTATCATTATTGACATTTGTACTGATAATTTGAGCCCAAATATTTAACTGCCCTCTCATAGATGTCATTCAAAATGATCAAATATACATAATAACAGGGAGGAATGGAAGGAAGGTCTGTGATAACCACAAAACAGGGCTATTTGCCACTGAAAAACCACAGACTTGGAGGAATTCTTACAGATTAAGACTACATCAAATGAATTACTGATCAGCCTACAACTTAAAGCAAGGAAATGAAAAGCCAACTTGAGCAACCAGATCAAATCAGTACCACAACTTAAAAATATATTGGAGCTCAAAACTGCTGAGTGGATCAGGACACAAATTTCAACTCTATAAATGCTAATATGAAGAGTAGGAGACTTCACTGCGTAATTATGTTGTTGCCCTCCCAGAATTCAGTTGGCTCAGATGCTGTAGTACATAAAACAAGAGTCATTTCCATAGAGGCCTTCTTTTTTTTTATTTATTTATTTTTATTTATTTATTTTATTTTTGACAGGCAGAGTGGACAGTGAGAGAGAGAGACAGAGAGAGAAAGGTCTTCCTTTGCCGTTGGTTCACCCTCCAATGGCCACCGCTGCAGCTGGCGCACCGCGCTGATCCGATGGCAGGAGCCAGGATCCAGGTGCTTTTCCTGGTCTCCCATGGGGTGCAGGGCCCAAGCACTTGGGCCATCCTCCACTGCACTCCCTGGCCATAGCAGAGAGCTGGCCTGGAAGAGGGGCAACCGGGACAGAATCCGACGCCCCAACCGGGACTAGAATCTGGTGTGCTGGCGCCGCAAGGTGGAGGATTAGCCTATTGAGCCACGGCGCCGGCTTCATAGAGGCCTTCTAACAAGGGAAGTTATGATGCAGGATATTGAAAGGACTGGGGGTAAGTAATATCCCAGTACCTTTAGTTTGTGATAATATCAATAAAATTGCTCAGTGAGGTCATAAAGTTACTTGCTACAAGCATATCTCAAGATCCTTCCCTATTTCTCATGGTCAAATGGTAAACAAAACTGTACCTTTGCCTATTCTGAACATTTAATAAAAATGGAATCATATAATATGTGTTTTCCCGTGACTGGCTTCTTTTACTTGGCATATGTTTTTATACTTATTGCCATAGTATGTATCATGCTTTTTATAGCCAAACAACAGTCTATTCTGTGGATATATCCCATTTTGTTTATCCATACATCTATTGGTAGACATCTAGGTTATTTCCACCCACCCTTTAGCTATTTTAAATAAAATATAATTTATTGAATCATTAAATTTATTGCTTATTATTTATTAATTTTATTATTAAATCACAAATTTATTAAATTATATAATTTATTATAAATTTATTAAATTATTTAATAAATTATTATTTTATGTATTAACTACTTTATTAAATTAAACAATTTAATAAATTAAATGCTTTATTAAATTTAATAAATCATTTAATAAATTTATTATTCATTAAATTAGAAATTTATCAATCATATAATTAATTAAATTATGAATTTATTATTTATCGAAATTTATTGTTAGATTTGTTATTGTTATTAAATTTATTTATTATTAAATTTATTAAATTAAATAAATAATTTTGCATGCAAATTTTTGTGTACATGTATGTTTTCATTTCTCTTGGATGTGTAACTGTGAGTAGAATTGTTAAATCAGAGAGTAACCCTCTTTAACCTTTTGAGGATTATCAGGCTGTTTTCCAAAGTGGAAGAACTATTTTTCATTTCCATCAGCAATGTGTGAGGATTCCAGTTATCCACAGACTCTCCTTTTGATAGCTATCCTAGTGGATGTGATGTGATATCTCATTGTGGTTTTGATTTGCATTTCCTAAATGATTAATGATATAGAGCAACTTTTCACATACTTACTGATCATTTTATATTTGCTTTAGAGAAATGCCTATTCAGATCCTTTGCCTATTCTAAATTATGTTATTTTTCTTTTATTATTGTTGCAAGTTTACCCCCATTTGTTTTTATATTTCTCAGTTCCCTTTTTTCCATCTACTTTTGGACCATGTGAGGGTTTTTTGTTTGTTTGCTTGTTTGTTTTTAAATATTTTTAAAATATTTTACTTATTTATTTGAAAGGCAGAGTTACAGAGAGGTAGAGGCAGAGAAAGAGAGAGAGAAAGGTCTTCCATCCTCTGGTTCACTCCCCAAATGCCCGCAGTGGCTGGAGCTTGGCCGATCTGAAGCCAGAAGCCAGGAGCCTCTTCTGGGTCTCCCACATGGGGCAGGAGCCCAAGGACTGGCGTCATCTCCCACTGCATTCCCAGGCCACAACAGAGAGCTGGATCGGAAGTGGAGCAGCCAGAACTCAAACCGGTGCCCATATGGGATGCTGGCACAGCAGGTGGCGGCTTTACCTGTTACGCCACAGCACCAGCTCCTTGAGGGTTTTTTTTTTTTTTTAAGATTAATTTTATTTATTTGAAAGGCAGAGTTACAGAGAGAGACAGAGACAGAGAGATCTTCCATCCATTGGTTCACTCCCAAATGGCCACAATGACTGGTGCTGGGCCAGACCAAAGACAGGAGTCAGGAGTTTCATCTGGGTCTCCCACTTGGATGCAGAGACCCAAGTACTTGGGCCATCTTTTACTGCTTTCCTAGGCAAATTAGCAGGGAGCTGGAATGGTAGTGGGGCACCCAGGACTCAACTGATGCCCATATTGGATGCCAGCAGTGCAGGCATTGGCTTAACCCGCTGTGCCATAATTCCAGCCCTCTGCTTGATTTTTTTTTTTAAAGATTATTTATTTATTTATTTATTTGAAAGTCAGAGTTACACAGAGAGAGGAAAGGCAGAGAGAGAGGTCGTCCATCCACTGGTTCACTCCCCAATTGGCCGCAATGGCTGGAGCTGCACTGATCCAAAGCCAGGAGCCAAGAGCTTCTTCCGGGTCTCCCATACGGGTGCAGGGGCCCAAGGACTTGGGCCATCTTGTACGGCTTTCCCTGGCCATAGCAGAGAGCTGGATTGGAAGTGGAGCAGCTGGGACTAGAACCAACATCCATATGGGATGTCGACACTGCAGGTGGCGGTTTTACCTGCTATGCCACAGCGCTGGCCCCATCCCTGCTTGATTTCTAAAGGAAGTTTTAGACAAAAACTTATATATTTAAGGAATACAACATGATGTTTTGATACATGTGTATGTTGTGAAATGATTACCACAAGCAAGCTAATTAACATATTCATCAGCTCTTGTGTGTATGTGGTGAGAATACTTAATATGTGTTCTTTCAGCAAATTTTAGCTGTACAATACAGTATTAACTGTAGTCACTGTGCTATAAGTAGGGCTCTAAAACTTACTCACTTTATAACTTTCAGTTTGTACCATTTAATCAAAATCTACTTTCCAGCAACCTTTCTACTCTCAACTACTATGAGTCTGATGTTTTATATTCTCCATATAAATGAGACCAGACAGTGTTTGAATTTCTGTGTCTGGCTTATCTCACTTAGCAGTATATCCATCAGGTTCATCCATGTTGTCACAAATGACAGGATTTTCTTTTGTATGGCTGAATAATATTCTGTTTCTCTTTCTCTCTCTCACTTGCTCGTTGTCTCTCTCTCTCTCTCTCTCACACACACACACACACACACACACACGCTCCTCAGTTTATGCAAATGTCCTGAGGAACCCATTGTATGTTGAAAATATTCTATATATCTAACTACAAAACATTGGTCAGCAACACAGTACACTGTAAACCATGGATTGTTTGATCTGGAGATCATGTGGCTGACTGGGAGCTGTGGCTTACTGCTGCCCAAATTCACAAGAGAATAGTGTACATATCGCTAGCCTGGAAAAAGATCGAAATTCAAAATAAAGTTTCTACTGAATATATGTCACTTTTGTACCATTATAAAGTCAAAAATCATAACTGGAACCATGGTAAATCAGGGACCATATATAGACACACACACACACACACACAGACACAGATACTACTTTACTTATTCATCTGTTGACAGATACATAGAGTTTTTTTTTTAAGACTGATTTATTTATTTGAAATACACAATTACAGAGAGAGAGAGAGGGTGAGATAGACAGAAAGACAAAGAGAGAGATCTTCCTTGTTCACTCCCCAAATGGCTTCAATGGCCAGAGCTGGGCCGAACCAAAGCCAAGAGCCAGGAGCTTCTTCAGGTCTCCTGCATGGGTGCAGGGGCCCAAACACTTGGGCCATCTTCCACTGCTTTCCCCAGGCCATTAGCAGTGGAGCAGCTGGGCCTTGAGCAGGCATCCATATGAGATGCTGGTGTTACAGGCTGCTTTACCTGCTATGCCACAACACTGGCTCCTGCTCCTGGCTTTGAAACCTTCATATGCTAATTTCAAAAACTGAATCATCTTGTGGTTACTGTCCATTGACATATTTTTGTTGTTGTGTATAAGTCACATTTCCCTGTTTTTGTTACACTAAACATATATGGATTATATTCTGACATTACACCTGATTATTTACAGAAACTATTCTGCTTTGTACTTCTGAAGGCAACTGGGATTTTGTTTTGTTTTGGCTTTATTTGTTTTGTTTTAGTAGTCTGTTAACTTGGTTGAGTTCAAACTATAAACTTTGTCTCCCTTTTGGTGGGAAGGAGCTGAACTCTGTATTTCGAACTTTTAGCCATGGCTTGTGTGCTTGGAGTCTGCCCCAAACAAGTGTAGTTCAGAAATCACAGATTTTAAAAAATTTTTTTAAAGATTTTATTTACTCGGCGGGTGCCGTGGCTCACTAGGCTAATCCTCCGCCTGCGGCGCTGGCACCCCGGGTTCTAGTCCTGGTCGGGGTGCCAGATTCTGTCCCGGTTGCCCCTCTTCCAGTCCAGCTCTCTGCTGTGGCCAGGGAGTGCAGTGGAGGATGGCCCAAGTGCTTGGGCCCTGCACCTGCATGGGAGACCAGGAGGAAGCACCTGGCTCCTGGTTTCAGATCGGTGCAGCTTGCCGGCCATAGCAGCCATTTGGGGAGTGAACCAATGGAAGGAAGACCTTTCTCTCTGTCTCTCTCTCTGTCTCTGTCTCTCTCTCTCTCTGTCTAACTTTGCCTGTCCAAAAAAAAAAAAAAAAAAAAAAAAAAAAGATTTTATTTACTTATTTGAGAGGTAGAGTTACAGAGAGAGGGAGAGACAGAGAGAAAAATCTTCCATCCACTGGTTCACACCCCAAATGGCTGCAATGGCTGGAGCTGGGCCGATGTGAAGCCAGCAGCCAGGAGCTTCTTTCAGGTCTCCCACATGGGTGCAGGGTCCTAAGCACTTGGGCCATCTTCTGTTACTTTCCCAGGTCATTAACAGGGAGCTGATTGGAAGAGGAGCAGCTATAACATGAACTGTGGTGTCCCAACCCCCAGAGATCAGAAATTAGACAGAGTTTTATGTAGAATTTGGGACTCCTCCTGTGTTACTCTCCCCTTTTCTGGATTTCTCCTCTTCACTTTCCAGCTGCTCTGTTAAACTTTATCTCATTCTTTGAGATAATATTGCAATTTTTTTTAATCTATGTTCTAGTTTCCTTGTTCACTCCCCAAATGGCCACAACAGCCAGGGCTGGACCAGGCCATGCCAGGAGCCAGGGAGGGGGGTTCTTCTGGATCTCCCATGTGGGTACAGGAGCCTAAGGACTTGAACCATCCTCTGCTGCTTTCCCAGATGCATTAGCAAGGGAACTGGATTGGAAATAGAGAAGCTGAGACTCAAACCAGCATCCATATGGGATGCTGGCACCATAGGCCATGGCTTTAACCCACTGTGCCATAGCGCCGGCCCCAGGAAATATAGTTTTGAAAGAAATTAATTTTGATCATCTTCTTTGAAACATAGATGAATCTGCTAAAACTGAGATCTTCGAGGAAGGGAGAAAGTCTTACTGGGAGAAAATGCTAAGTTTCTCATGTTAGTAGGGGAATTGAAATCAAAGTGGCAGTATTCATATAGACAAGTAGAATTCCAACTAAATGGAAGATAGAAAGTCATCATATATTGATGAAGATTAAATCCTTCAAAGTGTTCTCATTCTTTTAAGTTTGTGACTTATAGATTAGCCACCTTAGCTCCAATGATCATGTACATTTTCCTATTTTAATTTCCTTTAGTAATTTTGATTGACAGTTGAGGGATAATAGAGGTGTGCATATGAGGAACAGTTATTCATCTGTTAAGTCAGCTTAACATTTTCTTCATAAATCTAAATCTCCCCTTCTCTCCAAAAGGAACATTGACCTAAAATAAAGCAATGAAGACACTTTAAAAGGAAAAAACAATGGAGCAAGGTTATAAAAAGACTACTTTAATGGTACTTTTGCTGATAATAGCATTTCTTCCTTTTATTTTCAGATCTTACTTCCAAGCATGGAATTGAAATTGAGGATAGAAAATGGAGCTTCACAGAGATTTTAACATCTCAAAGCCTGTGTGAGCCAGAGTGCCATGAACCAGGTAGAAATTTTGAATAAATCATTGAGTTTACCAAGGGTTACCTAGATATAATGTACGAGTACAACACATTCTACTACAAGTCAATTTTCATCTTTAAAATTAGATTATTGTAATCCTAGTTTTTAAAATTTTATCCATCCATTTATCTTTGTTACTGTCATTAACTCAGACTCTTACCAATACCAAAACTGAATAATACATAGAAGAATTATAAAGGTTGGGGAAAAGAAATGCAGGAAGCCATATTAATGTTGAAAATATAAATCAAAATATTATAGCTCAATAAATATAATTTTCTATTTTATTTTAATTTTATCAATTGTATTAGTCAGATTTCTCACTTCTTTAAAATACCTGAGAAGAGCTTTTTGGGAAGAAAAAAGTTTGGAAGTTCACATTTCAAAACCAAGTGGCCCTGGAACTGGTGCTATGGTGTAGCCGATAAAGCTGCTGCCTGCAGTGCCAGCATCCCATATGGGCTCTGGCTTGAGTCTTGGCTGCTCCACTTCCAATCCAGCTCTCTGCTATGGCATGGGAAAGCAGTGGAAGATGGCCCAAGTACTTGGGCCCCTGTACCTACATGGGAGACCCGGAAGAAACTCCTGGCTCTTGGCTTTGAAGAACCGGCCATTGCGGCCAACTGGGGAGTGAACCAGCAGATGGAGGACCTCTCTCTCTCTCTCTGCCTCTGCCTCTCTTTCAAATAAAAAATAAAATTAAAAAAATAAAACAAGTGACCCTGTTAATATGACATTCAGTGGAGGCTGGCAATGCTGAAATATGCATGGAGGAAGGTTCACATGGTGAGCCAGGAAGCAGAGAGAGAAGGTAGACTGAATTCGGTTTAAATAATCAACCCTCTCCCAAGAACCACCTTCCCAGGGCCTAAAGACCTCCCACTGGTCCCACCTACTGGCCTGCTTATTAGATCAAGTTGTACCCTGATCTATCAACAATTAGCACTAGTGTATTACCTGTTAATAGTAAGACTTTTGGATTTAAACATCTGCATGAGTTTGGGGAGCCAAGTCTTGTTTAATCCATAACAGCAGTTTTACTGACCTTTGTTGAAGTTTAATTTTTTTATTTTTTTTTGTTTTGTTTTGTTTTGTTTTGTTTTTTAATGGCAGAGTGAGAGAGAAGGAGAGAGAAGGAGAGGGAAAGGGAGAGGGAGAGAGAGAGAGAGATTGAGATCTTTCAGGCACTGGTTCACTCCCCAATTAGCCACAACAGCTGAGGCTGGGCCATGTTGAAGCCAGGATCCAGGAACTTCATCCAGGTCACCCATGTGGGTGCAGGGGCCCAAGCACTTGGGCCATCCTTCACTCCTTTCCCAGGCACATTAGTAGGGAGCTGGATCAGAAGTGGAGCAGCTGGGATTAAACTGGTGCCCATATGGGATACCGGCTTTGCAGGCAGCTGCTTAACCAGCTATGCCACAATGCCAGCCCTGAAAGTTTAACTTTGTAATCCTGCAAAGCAATATTGTCATTCTCTGGCCGGCGCCATGGCTCAATAGGCTAATCTTCCGCCTTGTGGCGCCGGCACACCGGGTTCTAGTCCCAGTTGGGGTGCCGGATTCTGTCCTGGTTGCTCCTCTTCCAGGCCAGCTCTCTGCTATGGCCCAGGAGTGCAGTGGAGGATGGCCCAAGTCCTTGGAGCCCTGCACCCGCATAGGAGACCAGGAAAAGCACCTGGCTCCTGGCTTCGGATCAGCGCGGTGCGCCGGTGTCCGGCAGCCATTGGAGGGTGAACCAATGGCAAAGGAAGACCTTTCTCTCTGTCTCTCTCACTGTCCACTCTGCCTGTCAAAAAAACAAACAAACAAACAAAAAAAACCATATATATATATATATTGTCATTCTCTGCTCTGTCATTGTTAATTATTATCCTACAAAATTTGGAATCTCAGAATTATCTTTTGTTTCAGTATAATGCCAAATTTTATTGTTTGTTAACTATTCTAATGATACTATTATTTACTTACATTTATAATAGAATCACACACATTAGTCTTTAGAAATTTATTGTTTTATTTATGAGAGTGACAAAAACTGTACCAACTACTCATCAATAAATGAGGATCAATTTTTCAAGACCACTCTATTTTGTCACACTGTGCTAGACCATCTAGGTTCAAACTCATTGAAGAGAATTACTCTTCACAGCACTATTTGCTTAACATAACTAATATTTAGTATTGAAATAAAAAAGATTATCTCCTACATACTAACAACTTGAGCTTTCAGAATTAAAAGCATCATTGCATATAAGACCCTTAGAATTTATCTTACATATATTAAGCTCAATAAAATTTCACTTTCAATATATTTTCCAAAAGAATCACCACTGTTATAATTGAGAGGCCATATAATATGTATGTAATTCCTTGTATAGATGGAATTTTTTAAAAGATTCATTTATTTATTTGAGAAGCAGATTTACAGAGAGAGAGACAGAAAGAGAGGTCTTCCATACACTGGTTCACTCCCCAATGGCTGATCTGAAACTAGAAGCCAGGAGCTTTTTCTAGGAGTCCACGTGGGTGTAGGACCCAAAGCAGTTGGGCCATCTCCCATTGCTTTCCCAGGCTATCAGCAGGGAGCTGGATTGGAATTGGAGCAGCCAGGACTCAAATGGACACCTATATGGTAGGCTGGCGCTGCAGGTGGAGGCTTAACCTCCTTAGTGCTGGCACCATCTAGATGGAAATTTTACAGTGTTATTTCGTATCTCACATAATCCAAATTTATTTTATTTTTTTAATATTTATTTTATTTGAAAGAGAGAGAGAAAAAGCCTTCTGTCTTCTGATTCATTCCCAAGTGGCTGCAATGGCTAGGAACCAGGAGCAGGGAGCTTGATCTGGGTCTCCCAAGTGGGTGGCAGGGTCCCAAGTAATTGGGCCACCTTCTGCTGCTTTTCCCAGGCCATCAGCAGGGAACTGGATTGGAAGTGGCAGCAGCCAGAACTTGAACTAGTGCTCATATGAGATGCCAGCACTGCAGGTGGTAGCTTTACCTACTATGTCATGGCTCTGGCCCCCAAAATATTTTTGCTGTAAGAGAATGAGCAAACATAATACTTACAAAAGCTTTAAAATTGTACTTAATTTTATTAATGTTTGTGTAACTCCAATTTTCATGTATTTCAGAAGAGTTAGAAATGCTGCTAAGTCAGCCACATGGCACAAGTCAACATTCTTCAGTGAATTCATTATGTGCAGGACTTCAGACATATCCGTTGTCTCCTGATTGTAAAAGGTACGTATAGATCATATCTAGAACCAAATTTGCAATTAGAACAAGCAGTCTTTAATCAAAGCTTTCCATATAAAAGCAATTTCCAAGATATCTCATTAAAATATGTAACAGATAGTTTAATGTCTATAGTAGACAACTAGAGGACTATATGAATATGTATGCACATATTTGGTTTTATCCATAGAATATCTTCAGAAAGGAACACAGAAACAAATAACATTGGTGTGTCCAGAAGGGAAGTAGGAAACCTGGTAATATGGGTAGGAGATTTTTTTCACAACACAACCTTTTATGTATTTAAATTTTTGAATGCGAAATATTGCTACTAAAAACAAATAACTTCAGGGCCATTGTTGTGGTACAACAGGTTAAGCCACCACCTGCAACAGGGGCATCCTATATGGGGACAGTTCATGTCCCAGATGCTCTACTTCCCTTCCAGATCCCTGCTAATGTGCCTGGGAAAGCAGCAGAAGATGGTCCAAGTCCTTGGGCCCCTGCACCCACATTGCAGACATGCATGAAGCTCCTGACTCCTGGCTTCAGCCTGGCCCAGCCCCCCCCATTGATGCCATTTGGGGAGTGAACCAGCAAATGGAAGATTTCTATCTCCATCTCTCCCTCTACCTCTCTCTTTCTCTGGCTTTCAAATAAATAAATTTATAAAAAAAAATCAAATAACTTGAAAATGTTAAGATTCTGCCATTGGAATAATATGCTTAGCATATTGCCCTGGATACTTACACTGCCTCTATTGGCATGCACTGGATAAATGGTGTGTAAGTCTTCTAGGGCTGCCATACAAATATCCAAGATGAGGTGGCATAAACAACAGAAATTTATTTCCTCACATTCTGGAGCTAGAAATCAAGAATAAGTGTCAGCTTTTGGGGGTGAACCACCGGAAGGAAGACCTTTCTCTCTGTCTCTCTCTCACTGTCTATAACTCTCTCTGTCTCTCTCTCTCAATGTCTAAAAAAAAATTTTTTTTTAATTTAAAAAAAAGAAAGAAAAAAAAAAGAATAAGTGTCAGCTGCAGGGTTGGTTCTGTCTACAGGCCTGATTCTTTGGCTTACAGATGACTGTTTTCTCCCTTCATCTTCATATGGTTTTTCCTCCATCCTTGTCTGCCTCCTAATCTCCTCCTCTTTTTTTTATTTATTTTTTTTATTTTTTGACAGGCACAGTGGACAGTGAGAGAGAGAGACAGAGAGAAAGGTCTTCCTTTGCTGTTGGTTCACCCTCCAATGGCCGCCGCGGCCAGCGCGCTGCGGCCGGCGCACCGCGCTGATCCGATGGCAGGAGCCAGGAGCCAGGTGCTTTTCCTGGTCTCCCATGGGGTGCAGGGCCCAAGCACCTGGGCCATCCTCCACTGCACTCCCTGGCCACAGCAGAGAGCTGGCCTGGAAGAGGGGCAACCGGGACAGAATCTGGCGCCCCAACCGGGACTAGAACCTGGTGTGCCGGCGCCGCAAGGCGGAGGATTAGCCTAGTGAGCCGTGGCACCGGCCTTCTCCTCCTCTTATAAGGACACCATCATGTTGGATTAGGGTGTAATTTAATGACCGTATTTAACTTAATTATCATTTTAAAGACTCTGTCTCCAAATACAGATTCTGAAGTATTGAGGGTTAGGGCTTCAGCAAATGAATTTGGAGGTGGGTTGCGAGGATAATTCAGATCATAATAAGAGATTTGAGAGCTATGGACTAGAGCCAGATTGCCTGGCTCTATCAATTACTAACTCTGAGAATTTATTTGCTCTGTGCTTCAGTTTCTTTATCTGTAATACTGGGATCATAGTGGTATCTACCTCAGAGGGTTGTTATGAGCTTTCTAAAAGATATGCCACAGGGGCTGGCGCAGTGGCGCAGTGGGTTAATGCCCTGGCCTGAAGCGCTGGCATCCCTTATGGGTGCCAGTTCAAGACCCGGCTGCTCCACTTCTGATCCAGCTCTCTGCTGTGGCCTGGGAAAGCAGTAGAAGATGGCCCAAGTGCTTGGGCCCCTGCACCCACGAGGGAGACCTGAAAGAAGCTCCTGGCTCCTGGCTTCGGATCGGCACAGCTCCGGCCGTTGCAGCCAATCTCTCTCTCTCTCGTTGTAACTCTTTCAAATAAATAAATAAATCTTTTTTTAAAAAACAGATATGCCATAGATATCTGGCTAGGAATAGCCAAAGATCACAGAACAGCATGGACAGTGGTTGATCAATAGATTTGGCTATCACTTTGCTCCCCTTAGGAGTGCTAAGGGTCATATCCATCTTCAACAGAGGACGTCCACTGACTTTGTTCACCTCTGTCAATATGAGCAAGTATTGGAGGAACCAGATGTATAAAACTAAGGCTTGATCTTAAGTTGGTTCAATACCCCATTGTTACTGCAGAAAATGGTCTGTAAATTAGCATTGATATTGTAGGGCTAAGTAATTGTATTCTAAT